ATCTGATCTCTCAACTGCTGGCTACGCACCAACTGCGCCGCCTTCACCTCTCAGTTACGCAGCTGTGGTCGCGCGGCCCCCACCGCATCCAGTCGCCTTATCGGCTCCACCTCCTCCGGCCTCGCCTCCAGCTTACAGGCCCCCACCTCGCTTTTTCCGTCCAGCTAATGAGTGGCGCACCAGAAACAATCGTCCCATCTGCTTCGCGTGTGGCATCGCTGGCCACATTGCACGCTTCTGCCGCCGCCGTCCCACACCTGCGCAAGCATACTTCGGAGCTCCTACCTACGCACCGCAGCAGACCACCACGTCTGCATATGAACAGAGGCACTCCGACTCGGATCGCCACCCATCGACTGCTCGTTTCCCATCACCTCGTCGCCGATCGCCATCGCCTATGCGTCGTCGACCACCTCCTGAGGAGGGAAACTAATCAGTGCAGTTCCGGAGGCAAGAACTGCACCTTGTGCGCAATTCCCAAGGCCTCCATTTTCGCCGCAAAATGTTGTCGATGTCGATGTTGAGGGAGTTGCCACATTAGCGTTAATTGATACCGGGGCCGCCGTTTCTGTGATGAACGCAAAATTTTGTAGGAAACTGAAGAGAGTGACCACATCTCTCAGTGGCTTCCTTGGTGCTGTCCACGGCTAGCGCGCAACGCATTCATCCCTCGGCTGTGTGTACGGCGCGCGTCGTCATCCGAGACGTTTTGTACGTCGTACAGTTTTTTGTTCTACCATCTTGCTCTCATGACCTTATCCTTGGTTGGGATTTCTTATCACGTCATGAAGCTATCATCGATTGTTCCCGTGCCGAAGTGTCCCTTGTGCCAACATGTGAATTTCCACCACCGGAAATCTACCGCATACCATCCACAGACAAATGGTCTTACTGAGCGGTTCAACCGCACACTTGGCGACATGCTGAGGATGTACACCTTCTCCGACCACACTAACTGGGACGCTGTATTGCCCTTTGTTACCTTCGCTTATAACACCGCGACGCAAGCGACTACCGGTTTTTCCCCGTTCTTTCTATTGTACGGCCGCGAACCTTCCCACCCACTCGACACTATACTACCGTACCGCCCTGATGCATCTGAGTGCTCCCCGCTTTCAAAAGTCGCCAGATACGCTGAAGACTGCCATCAGTTGGCTCGGTCTCTGACAAGTGAGGCTCAAGGTCTACAAAAGACTCGACACGACGACGCTCACCGCATAGCTCCTACATTTCGCACTGGCTCTCTTGTGTGGCTTTGGGTGCCCCCGCAAGTTCCTGGCCTGTCTTCTAAACTTCTGGCCCGGTACCATGGTCCCTACCGTGTCATTGACGCAACCTCCCCGGTGAATTACATCATCGAGCCATTAACACAATCACCAGATTTGCGCCGTCGAGGACGCGAGACCGTACACGTCGACCGTCTCAAGCCCTACTACGACCCTCTCATGGTGCCTACTCCCCGAGTCGCCAGGATGGCTACCCTTCACCCCGGGGGTATTGTAGTGGAGCATACGCACCAACGCGTATGCGCCTTCAGAAGACAACGAAAAGCCCGTGCTCTGATTGCGCGAGAACCTGTGCCGCCTTTGCCAGACTTGCTGTTCGCCCATTTTCCGTCGCGACCTCGTTGCGACTCCTCTGTTCAAATAAACATCATCGCACTGTATAAGCTACCTTAAGTATATGCTACCTGGTAGCATATAAGGGGGGGGGGGGGGGGGGGAACGTTAAGTGCAGCTCAGTTGTGTGCCACGACCTAACAGATGCAAACCACTTTCCACATATGCTATGACAATGAAGAACGAGTCAGCGAGAGGTTGACTACGCAAACCCTGCTGCCGAATTCGTTGCCACACTATTGCAACTTGCGAGGAAAAAGATGCCTGAGATACGTTCTGCAAATATGAGCCGATTTTTTTTTTTCAGGTGACAAAACAAAACACAATCTGCTTTGTCAATTTCACCAGAAGGCCAAGAATGAGTTTTACACCACATTAAAACCATCAAGTCCTTTACCAAAGACACATGTCTGGAGACTGTGCTCTTTTGTTTAACCTACTACGCTCAATGTCGAGGAAAGATCTGAACAAACTTGGTGTCTACATGCACACTTTGGCCTCCGAGATTCGCACCGAAAATTTTATTTCCTTCATGGCACCAAAACAGTGACATTATGACTGATATATTAACTTCGTGCAAGTTGTAGCTTTTCGCGATGCATGTAAACGGATATAACACTTAATTATTGCGTGATTCTTATATTAAACATATTATTAGCTTGTCACAAGCAATCTGCAAGCATTTGACTTTTTTCTGCATTGCTGAAGCAATGTAACATCTTGTGTGGAAACCGTGTGTAAGTGGGGGTGATGCGCACACTCAACAGGAAAACTGCCTCCCTCAGCATGCAACACTAGCTGAAAAAAAAAAAAAAAAAAACGACCGAAGACTTGCTTTCAAAAACAAAACTTTGTGATCCTTGATCAAGCAGCACTTTCTCACCACCTTATTCATAAACTCTCCTTGATTTGAAACTCCCTTCAATGCAGCACGTTTGAAACACGTCTGTGCATTTGTACTGCCTTGGCACTGCCTAAAGACAGCGCATTCGAAAAGTGTTTGTGCTGCATTGAAGTCAAGTTCAAGTCAAGCAGCGTTTCTGAATACGAGGGTCAGTATCATCACACAGCATTTTTGACCGATTGGTGCTAGAAGCCTTGATATCTGGCTTCATAATTAACCTGCTCTTCACAAGCAATTCTTTGCCAGTCAACATAATTCATAGTCTTATATGTTGGAACATGTCTACACAACAATGACAACTTTTCTATTCTTTTTCCATGAGTGAATTGAAAGCATGCTGGTACTGTAAATCGGGAGTCTCAAAAACACCTCAACTACACTCAAACCTTCTAATAACGAAGTCGCATCTGGCACAAAAATAAGTTTGTTATATCCAAAGATTCTTTATACGAGTATATTGTTAACAGTATATCTATCACAAGACTATTCTTCATTTACTTCGTAATAAGCAATATTTCGTTATATCAAGGTTTGAGTGTAGTACTTAGTCTTCCGCAGGAGCCTCGACAGTGAAGGTTAGAAAAGAGGCACGGAGAGGATGATCTGCAGTGTCGGTTAACATTGACATTTGGAAGAAGGCCTTTTTCGTAACTCACATATAGGTCATTTTCCGAAAGGGATCTGGTGTTGAGTTTTGAGAAATATATCAATACCTATCTCCAGAATGACTGAAATGTGCACACCGATCCTGGCATGTCGAGTTTTAACAGCGAAGCTGTCATAGTTTGCCGTACAGTGGGTGCGGCACAACCAGAAAACTCAAGTGGGCACGTGCCGCAGGCACTGGGCAAGCCCCATTACTGTCTGTACCAGCTGCGAGTGTCAAACACATGAAAAAGAGAGAACACGATAGAAATAAAAAAAAAGAAGTAAAGGGAATAAAGACATAAAAAAGCAAAATAATGAAATAATAGATCGAAAGTGATAGAAAGACAGGGGAAGAGAACAATAGAGAAATAAAAGGAATATAACCACATAAAAGGTAGAGACACGAGAAAAACATAAAAAGAGCAGAGTAAAAAAAGAGAGAGCAAGATAGAAAAAGAGTTGGTGAAGCAAAGAAAGACACGGAAAGAGAGATATGTCTGCTGTATGTCTTTGCTGTTGTCTCATGTATTATTTCGCGTCTTGTACACTGTTCTGTTCAAGCCAATCACTTATCTTGCATTCTGCTTTGCTCATGCGAATCACTGTTCTCCATTTGTTTCCTATGTGCCATATTTCTGCCTGTCCACTAATGATGCACCTGGCCTACACTTTTCATCAAAAAGAGAATAAAATTAGGAAATCGTGACCATATTGGCATGAGTGAATCCCAACATACATAGTATCATATACCTGCGCATGTTTGATGACCCAATCCAAGGAATTCAATTGTAATCAATGTAGATTTAATATGTGCAGTGTTGTATGCACTATGTGGAAAAGTACCAACACTAAAATCGAGTGATTTGTCAAAAAGGGCTTTTGCAAGCACGTCTTGTTGCTTGTGCGAGCAATATCACCTATATAACTGTCGTAATACACCACGAAACATAAAGCCAGCGCTTGCGGGTGCTGTTAGCGACTGACAAGACTGAGAAAGGCAGACGTGTGTCCAATCGCGCATCAATGGAATGAACAACATATGTACAACCAAGGCGAGTGAACAAAAAAAAAAAAAAAAACACATCAAAAACCCGAAAATAACCCAGGTGGTGTCACAGCTTGCATGAGCCCGCACCTTCCAAAAATGCAATCTTTCCATCACGGAGTGAAATGGACAGTTTGCCCACGCAATAGCTCCCCCCCCCCCCCCCACTTTACCCGAGCCACTTCTACAATGATGCGGGTGTGTTCACCATTGTGTCGGTACAATATTGATCAAGCACTTGCCATGTTTGCACATGCGCTGTTGCTTGATTTACTGCCTCTACTCATTTTGTTATGCAACCACAGCCTGCGTATGTACGCTTCCCGTTTCACGACAAACCTCAGTTGAAAGTTAGCGCTTGTCCGTGTCCCTTCCTTTTCTTGTCCTCTCGTCTTACCTCATGCACTATTATGCTTCTGAACTAGTTTGGACACAAGGTATCTATGTACTCTCCATTGCAAAAGAGTTGATTGCTGGACGAGCTGGTGCTTTGACATAGGAAACCATCGTGAGAGCGCAACAAAACATGACACACAGAAAGAGACAGATGAGGACAAGCGCCTGTCCTCGTCTCTCTCTTTCTGTGTGTCATGTTCTGTTGCGCTCTTACGGTGGTTGATACTCTCCACTTGTTTGGTGGATGCACGAGGTGTCACAATCTCTGAGCAATTTTAATGTGCATATGCTATAACAAATAAAGGAGAGCTTGAACATCGATTTCTTGCGAGTTGAAGAAAGTGCAACGCTGAAACAAATCAATAGTGAGACAAGTGAGCGAGGCATGTAAAATATAAAGTACACTTTATTCCGCAACAGCAACCTTTGGTGGCCCAGCGGCCATGAAGAAAAAAAAAGTATGTGACTCCAAAATTTTGTAATATAAATTAGATATTTTACACCACCACACCCCGCATGAATATGGTAGAGGCAAGCGTCACCTGAGATACACAATTTACATATACGTTTACACTAGCATACATATGGTGTGCACATGGGGGCTGAAGTATATTACACGTTCTATATATTATTACCTGCTGAAAATAGGACAGAGACGCACATATGTGACACATTAAATAAGTGGCAGAACATCGAGTATTTGCAGACTGCTGCAAGCTAACAATCAGAGGACGCTATTAACAACGATCACTACGTATACGGCAGGGTGTTTCCTGCTTTCGAAAGACTAGAGGCTGTAGGGCTCCTTACAGTTACCTAGAAGGAAATGCAGTGCCTACACCGAACACCCCAACGACTTAAAAGAATATACACTCTTAGGCAAATGGGAGTATATGGGGCATCATTCTGAAGCACAACAACAATCATACGAACTGACGGTGTTGTCCTTTTTCGCTACTTTCTTATAGAAAGTGCTATCCCACATTTAACCGGTGACCAGGCAGTTCTGGGCACGCAGCGATAACGCGAGGAAAGCACGCAAGATAAACGGCGATAATTGCGTGGGAGAAAAACGTCTCAAATACTCTGTTTCTGTCCAGAGTGTAGCCACAAGGTAAATCATTTAAGATGTATTCAAAGGGCATTGTGATTGCTGCAATAAAAGTTACTTCATTCACCATGAAGCTATTTCAATTCAATCAATCAATCAATCAATTGTGATTGCTTTGTCCATAGAAGAGTGTGGTCTATCATGCCACAAATCGCAACCAACAGCCCTCTGGCTCCCCATTTCAGCACGAAGTGATTGCCAACTATAGGAGGACATGCATTACTGTAAAAAATGAAAGAACTTCTAGCATTAGTCTCATTTCCACCTTATTCTGTCGGTTAAACTCTCCACCAGAATTGAACCTGCAACCTTCAAATGTACAGATGTAGTAACTTACGCTGAGAAAATTGTAGCACTATGCACCTTAACACTTGTACCAAGAACTTCATAAGCAATGGTCTGCGTGAAAAGTGTTTTTCTCAGCTACATAGAAATATTAATCGATGGTATGTGGCAGGTGTGAGCCACCTTTTGAAGTGAAGGGGCAAGTTGCATGAAGCCTACATAGCCGGGGGCAGCACAAAAAAGTGGGGGGGGCGAACATTTACAGAGAAAGTGTAAATATTTTGCAAAATGCCACTAATTTGTATAACTGCATTAAAGAATCATGTTCATTTTGAGCAAAAATACCATTATGGGTAAAAAACTGCCATGTTGGCTTTCAGAGAGAATGTGGCAAGAGAAAATGAGGAAGTGGTTTGATGCCACGTCAAAAGGCCGCATAAAACAGCCACGTGGGCACAGCATGCCGCCCATGGGCCACGGGTTGCCGGCCCCTGGTGCAAGGAAAAGACAATGAATAAGGAATGTTACTGGAACCTATGTTTCAACAAGGGGACAGGTCTTGGCCAAGGCAATAACTGTCTAATGATTTCTAAATAAGGAAGCACTAAAAATGAGCTACAACACAATATCAGGAGCTTTTAGCTTGTACGTATACTTCTTTATGTTGACATGTTAACGGATACCGGTTTGCACTTACCGAGGTTTTAGCTCCCCGTACATAAACATATATGTACATACGCTAATGTACACCTTTACGTTTTTGCAAACCATAAATGATCATGCAAACTGAATTTAAACTATATTTAATATAGATTGAATTGAATCACCACTGCTGAAAAGTCACGAGGCTTCTTTTTATCGTGCACAACACCCACATATGCGCAAAAGGGTCAAGAAATACAAGGTCCCTGCAACGATGGTGTCAACATCTTGTGACACTTTGTGCAACTACAGTCATGAACACTTTGGCTTAGGCATAATGTTTTCAGGTTAAAATGATTAAAAAGGTAACCGATTCACAATAACGCTGCAGTGCAGTTTCTGCACCTGTATGTATCACAATGCACAATGTTTCTTTGATAATTCTGTGATTGCCTGGTTTATTTTTGGCCCCGCTAGATGGCGCCACCTATCCAGCCTGTCGAGGGGCTCACATAATTACAGCTTCAGTGTTCGAGGCCATTCTATGTTTGATAATCCAGCTGAAACAATGTAATGGCTATTAAGGCTCACATTTCAGCTTATTTTGACTCAACAGCTGGAGTCTTAGCAATGCGGATATTGCGAGTACCTACGACAAAGGTGGATTGCGAGATAGGGCCATAAACATAAAGGCTACCCAGTGGGTAGTTTACGTTACGTAAAGATTAATGTTCAGTAAAGACCTGCGCATGCAGCAGATTTATCTGGTATCCAGTAACACGGTAAATGAAAAAAGTATACGTACAAGCCAAAAGCCCCTATTGTTGTTTTCAGCATCTTTTTCATTGTAACTTTTAGCACTTCTCTCTTTAGCAATGAATGAACGATTATGCTAAGCAATTCATTCTACTCACTGTTTCATACGCATTTTCTTCTCCTGTTCCCTATGCCATTCCAACAAGCCCATATGACTCCCGTATAATTTTACCAGGTATACGTGGATTCCATGCAACTGCCAAGAACAGACACAACTCTGCTTATTCATTGCATCTGATGTGTGGTGTCGTGACTGAAGCCACCGCATTCTGTCCTTCCCAAGCTGGCTGAACGTTTGCAGTGCCGATTTCCTTGTAGATAACTGCAAGAGACCCCACGCTAGAGATGCTGATAGCGAAGAACGGCAATGCGTGCCATTGTTTTTCGTCCGCCTAAAGACAAGGCAAAGCTAACTGGCTGCATCGCTGACGAAACAGACGGCAAAAGCCGACAGGACAAATTCACTAAACAAATGCAGCTAGAGAGTCAACTTAAGGCAAGCCACTATTTCATCACCCACCCAGATACACCGCGAGTTAAGAGCTGGTCAAAGCCCCTCACGTTAAAGTGAAGTTGACAAATCAACGGTCTTCATTTTGACATGACACAGCTCATTATGAGAGAAAAAAAATCGAAGTCAGAGTTTCATGCCTGAATTAGTGCAGCACCTCCCACTGCTCGTTGGGGTCTTCACTGGCCCACATTGGCCCAGTAATACTTTGTGAAACTTCCAATGTAAAACGTCTGGAACCCGCAGCATGTCATGCCATTGATTTTCTAAAGAGTTATGAACGCCCTAGCAGTTGTTACCAAAACCCTTGATATCGTGGTTAAGCTGGTGTGGGAGCCTCAAGGTCACGGCACTACCACTATTTTGTTTCAGGGCATTTTCCGGTTTGCTAAGTGTCTTACCGCAGCAACAGCAGATCCATCGCTATTGTGAAAGTGCGATGCACTAGTATTACTCAAGGAATTGTTTTTCTCTTTGTCGTCCCTTTAATGCAAATGAAAATGCACTGCCTTCTAACACTTATCAATGAGAGGTGACGAACGGTTAAGTATTTCTCACATCCACTAAAACATCAGCATTAAAAAGAAAGCCAGAGTAACAAGCAAAGAGCATCAAATAGCAAAATATGCAAAAAAAACGCTTGAGCTTTTTGTTTTTTTGTGCAACAAAGCCCACTGGGCAGTTATACTGTTACGCAGCACAGCCAGATAGCACACTTCATACTTCGTGACAGAGTATCAGCGAGAACATTATAGGCAACAAATTAAAAACATCACACTTAGTTTATGGGTGACTGTGCGTAACTAGACGAGAAAATATAAATATCAATGTAAAGAAGAGAAGAGGGCGAGTTCTCACACAAAGAGGTACACCCGCCATGGATCACCTAGGCATTTATGCGGTGGAGGAGACTCCCATATACGCAAGTCCTCAGGCCGTTCCTAGTTAAATAAGAAGTATGTCGGTATGACTAGAGATGCGGCAACACACATAAATCTAAGGTAGGACCGAGAAGCGTGTTCACGCAGCAAATGCGTCACCATCATCGGCAGTTACAGATGGCCCATGCGTAATTGCATTCGGAGAATGTGCGCTGCAAGAACGGAAGAGTACCATGGCAACGAAATTAAAATCCGACTCGCGTTAATGACAAGCGGGTGTATAATGTGCGTCCATAACGTGGTAAATTAGGGCGAAATATCATGGCGCACGAACCACCGAGTCGCCGACATTGACAGCCCTGTGGGAGATTGGCCCGCAGGTGCCAGTGGAGTAATTACGAGAAAAAATGTTTGGTCTCGAAAGGCTGGTGATGAGCCCCACTCTCGTAACGCTCGTAATAAGCTCTGCATTACTCGAGGAGCGTGACAAGGTCATTTGCACTAAGCATGTTGCTCTGTGCCATTGAATCTCAATTAATACAGTACGTTCCCACTCAAACGATAGCTCCAGCATCGCTGCAGTATCAGCCAACTTGACGTTCGCACTATCACGTACTTCTAGGTGTCCTTTGTCGTCTGCGCATGCTCTCCTTTCGTCTTCACCGCGTAAGCATAAACAGCGCTCTCTCACGACTATCACCCACAAATGGAATGCTTTCTGCGAAGTTATTTTAGGTCTGCCTCCTCTCCTAGGAGCAGATCTAGATCATTAGCACGATGAATGTGATTACTGTCAGAGGTTTCAGTTGTTAGGCCTGTTGAACACAGGAGGGCCAGCCTTTGACCTTGCTGGAATGGGCGGAGGCTTCCCGTCGGTGGCAGCCTGCATGATGACAGGTGCCATGACCTTTGGCCTCGACGGTATTGGTGGGGCTGGTGGCAGACTCGGGGGTGGACCTGCAGGCGGAGCCGTGTGAGGTGCAGAAGTCGCACTTTCAGTAGCAGCAGGTGAATGCAGGAGGTGGGCCCTGCGGCACTGGAGGCGGAGCTTGTGCCGGAGCAGGTGGGAGAGGTTGTTGACTGGAATGCGCCAAATGCGGGGGTAGAGTGGGAGGAGCTGAGGAAGGTGGGCCAAAGAGGGGATGGGGCTGAAGGCATGTGAGAGGGCGGGCCCTGTGAGAATGGGGGCGGGGCTGATGGAAGTACAGGATGCTGCTGAATTGCCTTGTTCGTCTGGTGCAGAGGATTGAGTGGGAGGAGGAGGCGCTGGAGGAAGTGTCTGCCAGGGGGACGATGGCGGTTCTTCTTCCTCGTCCGCGCCTCCAATGCCGTTCTTCGCGGTGTCCGGGGGACTCTTTTCGAATGAATCGACTCTGGGTGGTGGAGGTGGCGGAGGAGGTGTGTCCGGTGGTGGACCGGAGGAAGCCGATGGCTCTGTGGCAGGTGGCGGAGGCCGTATAGGTGGTGGAACAGGCCTTGGTGGAGGAACCCGCCTCGGGGGAGCAGCGGAAGTTGTCTGATGAGAGGGGTGAAAGAAAAAAAAAAGACAGCTTGACATCAGAGTTAAACGTTTGTTGTTAGGTAGCTCAATGAAAGGCTGAATTGTTTGATAACAGTCAGAAGACCAGTCCAACATTGAATGAGCATGCTTCTGCTGAGCTAAAATGCTAAGATTTTCGAGGTCTCTTTATGCATGCTTTCATACAAGTACATGCGACACTTGACTAAGCGGAACCCCGATTATACAACTTTCAGAGGACCACTGCAAAACCATCGTATAATCCAGGCGTCGTATAATAAAAAAACTAAGATTATAGGCAGTGACACGCAGCTTTTTCCAAAAAATGAGTACGGATGACTTGAATAAGCCTAAGGCACGACCTTAAGCCTCCGCAAGGAAGCAAGATTAAATTATTCTTGCCAGTGGCGGCTAATGGCAGGGTTTAATTGAAGGAGGTGCGAGCAAATATTTATTCTAAACTTAAAAAAGAAATCGAATCCAATGCGCATCTTTCTACCAATGGTCTGAAAATTGCCTGCGCATGAAACGAACCGAAACTGCTTTGCCAACAGCCTCCCGTCAGAAGAGTCAGAGGCAGTGTCATCGCTATCACATAATAGTGACGGACCACAAGTTTGCGCAGAATGCCTTTGTGCGAGACTTGGCTATGTGCGTTGTAATTTGTTGCCTTGTGAAGTGCAACTAATGATGCCCCGCTGTCGTTATGAACGTTGACGCCAGGTGAGAGCAATATTGCACACTAAAAACAGCTGTATCGCACCCTTATGCATGTGCAAGCCTGTGACTGCGAGAGCGACAAAGCTGTATGGGCTAACTGTATGTATTGTCGCGGTACAGCACGAACCAAAGGCAGATAAACGTTGACACAGCGACTCTCAGCAGCCGAACAGCAAGATCGCCTTCTTTATCTTTGATCAGCCAGAGCTCCACTACCTGGTGTCCGCCAAATCCCCTTATCGTCGTTTTGGTCCACCAGTATACACGCGTCATTTGCCCCCCTCTTAATGAGCATCGCCCCGATGCTAAACCAGTAGTGCAGTTTTTTTTTGTCCTGTTCTTTAAGAAGTGTTTTGCGCAGTCACTACCTTTCATAAGGCTTCATGCGCACAACGTGAACTAGTTCAGGACGGTGCTGGCGAAGCCTCGTACTATATGAACTGTCGAGGACGACCTCGTAAGTAACATCACTCAGTCGTCGCAGAACTAGATATGGCCCAAAGTATCTCCTTAGGAGCTTTTCAGAGAGTCCTCGTTTCCGTATGGGCGTCCGAACCCATACTCTGTCGCCGGTCTGGTAAACGACTGTTCTGCGGCGAGAATTGTAGCGGCTCGCGTCGTACTCTTGTTGTTGCTGAATTCGCAGGCGTGCTAGTTGCCTTGCTTCTTCTGCTCGTTCTGTAAACATCTCGGCGTCCGGTTCGATGTCGTCGCATTCGTGCGCTAGCATCGCATCTAACATGGTTCGTACTTCCCTTCCGTGAATTAGGCTGAACGGGGTCATCAGGGTTGTTTCTTGCTTGGCAGTGTTGTATGCAAACGTGATATATGGCAAGATTTCGTCCCAATTTTTGTGTTTGACGTCTACTTACATTGAAAGCATGTCTTCAATTGTTTTGTTCAGATGCTCTGTAAGCCCGTTCGTTTGCGGGTGGTAGGCGGTGGTCTTACGATGGGTTGTTCCACTCAGCATGAGGACTTGTTCCAAAAGAGCTGCCGTAAATACGATTCCTCTGTCTGTGAATACGATGCTTGGTGCACCATGCCACAGGACAACGTTCTCGATGAAAAATTGTGCCACCTCCACTGCTGTACCTCTCTGGATAGCCTTTGTTTCAGCATAACGGGTAAGGTAATCAGTCACGACAATAACCCAGCGGTTCCCAGCAGTAGAAGTAGGAAGTGGGCCCAAAATATCCATGCCAATCTGGTCGAATGGTGTTCTTGGGACCTGCATGGGCTGCAGGAGGCCAGCTGGTTTAGTCGGCGGTGACTTCCGTCGCTGGCAGTCGAGGCATTGCTTCATTGGAAAGCAACGTCTTCTCTCGTGAGGCGGGTTAACGGTGATGCGATGCGTGCGAAGTCCGCGATGAATCGCCTATAATACGCACATAGTCCAAGGAATCGTCGGACAGCCTTCTTATCAGTCGGCACCGGGAACTGTGCAACAGCTGCGATCTTTTCAGGATCAGGATGAACGCTTGCGTGACTGACAACGTGACCACGAAATTGCAGCTCTTCATAGCAAAAGTGGCACTTTTCAGGCTTCAACGTCAAGCCCGCAGACCGTATGGCTTGTAAAACTCCCTCAAGTCTTTTAAGGTGCCGGTCAAATGTTGCGGCGAAAACTACGACATCATCAAGGTAGACCAAGCAGGTTTTCCACTTCAACCCAGAAAGTATGTTATCCATATGTGTCTTTGAAAGGTAGCAGGCACTGAACATAAACCAAAGGGCAAGACTTTAAATTCATATAAGCCATCCAGTGTCACAAAAGCAGTCTTCTCGCAGTCTCTTGGGTTTACCTCGATTTCCCAATACCCTCTCCTTAAGTCCATCAATGAAAAGTAACGAGCATGTCGAAGTCTGTCGAGAGAGTCATCTATACGAGGAAGTGGATACACATCTCTCTTTGTCACCTGATTGAGTTTTCGGTAATCTACACAGAAGCGCAGGTTGCCATCTTTTTTTTTTTTAACGAGGACTACAGGTGACGCCCAGGGGCTTTTTGAGGGCTGAATGACGTCATCTTCTAGCATTTTGTCGACTTGCTCTTGTATCACTTCGCGTTCCTTTACAGCCACGCGATAGGGGTTTTGGTGAATTGGTCTCGCCATGTCCTCGGTAATTATCCGATGCTTGGTTAGAGGCGTGCGGCCAACTCTTGATGTTGTCGAAAAGCAGTCTTTGAATTCGGCCAGTAGCTCAAGAAGCCTCTTTCGCTCGTTCTTAGGCAAAGTAGTGCTAACGTCAAGAACTGGTGTTGAATCAAGTTTTGGCGCCTCATCGACTACTGCCAAGCAGCCTTCTGCGTCTGTGATATCGTCGAAGTAACCGACGGCCATGCCTTTTGAAAGGTGCCGGCGCTCATCACTAAAATTTGTCAGAAGCAAGTCCGTGCGCCCAGCGGCGACAGTGACGATACCTCTTGCGATGGAAATGCCGTGTGTGAAGAGGAGCGAGGTTATTCGGTCTGCTACTCCTTCGCCATTAAACTGGACAGCAGCTGCCACAGAAACAAGCGTGCATGACCGAGGAGGGAGAACCACATCGTCATCAGTTAGACGCAATTGGTTTGGTCGCACCTGTGTAAAATCAGGTGCGCCCGAACTGTTGCGGAATGTAATCAAACTGTCTGGGATATTGATGACGGCGCCGTACTCTCGTAAGAAGTCCATACCAATAATTAGATCCTTGCAGCATGCGGCGAGAACGACGAACGACGCAACGAAAGAAGAACCTCTTATGTCAATTCTTGCTGTGCATCTTCCAGAGGGCATCAATAACTGATTACCTGCCGTCCTTATTTGAGGGCCTGTCCACGGTGTCTTCACTTTTTTGAGAGGCAGATGGCGAGGTCCTGACTGATAACAGAAAAGTCGGCACCGGTGTCGACTAAGGCTGTTACTTTTTGGTCGTCAAAAAAAACACTCAGGTCGGCGGTCACAATGTCGTTGCTCTCACGTTTTGTCGGATTTGCAGCGTCGTGTAATGGGGGCTTTTTGTCGTCATCTTCATGACCTGCAACCTTACCCCCGGAGGTCGCCGCCCTCAGTTTCCCCGTCGTGGGCTGGGTGACCTTCTTGCGTTGAGGTCCGCGGAGGTACGTCGGTGTGACGAAGGTGAATGAGCGGGAGAAGGCGAGCGGGATTGACGTCCCAAACATGGCTGGCGGGTAGGTATTGCCTCCTCGTCAGAAATACGGTATTCGTAAAAGTGAGAACGGGCTCCATGGAAAGAGGCGTCCTCCCGGCGTGGTATGTATTCTTCGTTCGCACGTCGATCGTCAGACCATGTTCGAAGAGCGCGGAACGAATCACTGCGGTGCCAGCAATGACAGGCAATATGACCTGCACCTCCGCAGTTAAAGCATAGTGGACGTCGATCGATTGTGCGCCATGCGTCTGTTCTTTGGAGCGGTGGACGTCTGAGCCTCCCTTCTTGCGACGATGTCCATGGTGCTGCTGTGGACGCCTGGTGGTACGTCGGTTGGCTTGGCGGTCGGCTCAGGGTCTGCTCTTGCGGCGTTGACCAAGGGGCCGTCGGCACTGGGTGATATAGCTCATGGGATGGTGCATAGCTCATGGGACGGTGCTCGTCACCAAAACCAGTGGTAGAAAATGCGTGGCGGATTTCGTCGCGTATGAGTTCAGCGACGGACGCAACGGGGGTTTGAGCAACTAAATTCCGGAACTTTTGCAGTTCTTCGCGAACTATCTCCCTAATGAGGTCTCGCAGGGAGCTTTGATCCTCAGGTATGGCGGCAGCATTGATTGGGGCGCTGCTAGACATTTGATGATACTGCCTGCATCGTTGATGGAGGGCCCGCTCGATAGCCGTAGGCTCCTTGATGAAGTCAACTACGGTACTTGAAGGGTGGCGCAGTAGCCCGGCGAAAAGTTGCTCCTTAACGCCGCGCATGAGGTAGCTCAACTTCCTATCTTCACTCATGTTCGGGTCAGCTCGACGAAAAAGACGAGTCATGTCTTCAGCAAACATAGTAACGCTTTCGTTGGGTTTTAGAACCCGTAGCTCCAACAGCTGCTGCGCACGGTCGCGTCGATCGACATTGGTGAACGTATCGACAAGCTGTTGTCGGAAGTCGCCCCAAGTTAACAGACTGACTTCTCTGTTCTCATACCAAATTTTCGCACTGCCGTCAAGGTAGAAATAGGCGTGTGAGAGCTTTTCTTGTTTAGGCCACAGATTAATCTTGGCGACACGCTCATAGTGCTCAAGCTAGTCGTCCACGTCTTCATGGGCGCCGCCACTAAAGTGATCGGAAACCAGCAGTTGAAAGATGGTTACCTGTGAAGGCTGTGTTGACGGGTGGCCTTGGGGCGCCGGTTGCGGACTGGCGTTGGCCATTTGGAGAGGTAATCGGCACTTGCGAGGTTCCGTGGAAGGCGTGAACTCTGGAGCGAGGCCTATCAGCCGCCAACTGAACCGGTGCACGGGAGTTGCAATGGGTGACAATGCGTCCGAGCTGGATGAACGGCTCCCAGTGGGAGTATGGAGCATTAGGTAGGGTTGCGTCCCAGCACTTCCACCAATGTCGCGGTACAGCGCGAACCAAAGGCAGATAAACGTTGACACAGCGACTCTCAGCAGCCGAACAAAAAGATCGCCTTCTTTATCTTTGATCAGCCAGAGCTCCACTACCTGGTGTCCGCCAAATCCCCTTATCGTCGTTTTGGTCCACCAGTACACACGCGTCAGTATCAAAGCTGTCTGTATCAACTGTATGTCGAACGGTAAAAGTTTCCACGGACCAAAAACGTGAAAATATCAGCTTTTCAGCCGGCTAAAGCTACTCTTTGTGGACAGAGCTTGACCAGGTAACGACTCCAGATACGTACATATGCGATCGAGGTGTATGTACGAGCGCATGAACTTCCAGGAGAATAAATTTTCCATTCCAAGAAGACAGCTGTCACACACTACTTTTCTAATCGTCAATGTAGGGACCAAGTTCATATTTTGCACTAGGCGGTTTTTTCTTTCAGACGGAATCTGAAAGTCATTCTAAGATACGATGTCTGGATAAAAATGTGTTGTATAACCAAGGTTTTTAATACATTATTTCTATGGGGCTTTTGCCAGGACCAAACCGATTCGTTGTAAAACCCTGCTTCCACTGTAATAGCACTTCAATAATTTTACTCCTCAAAACCTGCACTATACTTACTGCTTCACGTTTGATGTTCCCCTGTGTCAGTCTTACCCTTAGGTGCCTTGACTGCATCACATTCACCCGTAAATCAGCTCTGGATGTTCAGAGGACAACTGGCAGTGCCCATTCAGAAATTCATGGTATGGATAGGCAGGCAGTATTTACGCACTAATGCGTAAATACTGCACAGATGATCAGCTGCTACATGCTGTTCAAAGCGCTCTCATTGGTTTGAACTCTGTCTCACTCGAACAACTTTCCAGTCTTTTCACATCACCCTCCCATCATCGGCAGCAGAAGACCAAAGACACATTTACGCATATATAAATATTCACAAACACAAGGGCACTGTTCGAGCTTTCTTCATGTGTGCACAATTATGCTTTTTGAGTGCTGATTCATCAATAACGTGACGCAACAACTTACCCATAAGTACATGTTAAATAATCTGAATATCTTACGCTGCGACTTTCTTGTTCGCCCAGTAAAGAGCGAAAAGCATGGCCTTTTGTGCTAGGTTTGAATTAGAACAAATAGTTTATTTTGCAAAATTAAAGGGGTGGAGCACAAGACTTCACATGCACAGAAAGATGCATGGGTGATGTACTATACATACAGGGTGAAGTGTATGCAGCTGTAAGAGTTCTTACATACCTGCTCCTGGACAGCAGATGCTTTGACCTCCTGCTCGGGTGGAGGAGGTGGCCGTTGAGGAGGTAATGGCCTCTGCGGAGGCGGCGGTCGCTGCGGAGGCGGGGGCCTGCCCGGTGGGTTCATGGTTGGTGTCGAGCGGCCCGGCACGGGCGCGGAACGGCCGACTCCTCGGGGGCAAACGCCACGTCTCCGGAGAACGAAGGGCTGCTCTTACCCGATGAAGACTGCGAGTGGTACTCGTAGTCGTTTGACCATTCTGCACAGTGGGGAAATGGAATTCACAGGTGTGCAACCTTTACCACCACCCCCCCCCCCCCCCAAAAAAAAAAAACAAAATAAAAAAATGCATCACCCAACAGCAGCCAACACTAACACACAGCGAACCTTATACAATGCTAGCCAGTTTTCCAATTAGCCCAGTCGGAAAACGGCTAGTTTTCAGGTGTGAGTTTGAGTCTCGTTTCAGACACCATGTAAGCAGGTTGTGCAAGAACAAGCCATACAACAGGATGTCCTGCATGCAACTAACCATGAGGCCTCATTCACAACCAGATATATACAGAGTGAAGCAGCAGCACCAACTGGTGGAACACACACTACAAATGTAGCCGATTGTTCGTCAACTTTACCCAGAGCCAACGAGCGTACAGGGCGTCTGTTTTAAGCGATACAATCTTTTTACAAATATTCTATGACAGTCAGACTCTTCTCGTTTTTGAACGTAAACTCTACGTTAAGGTGGACATACTTTATTGTGGCTTAAATGGCATTGATATGACTAATTAACAAAACCTTATTAACTAACTTCTAATTATTGATTTGAATGTAATTAGTGTGCCCTTTATTAGCAATAATTAAAGTATCTTGTAATTAGAGATATTCATCATCGAAGGCCGATACAAAAATTGACAGCCCCCGCCTCGCAGGAAATGCAACCGCTCTGTTACATCAGACCAGAACTACCCACAACAATGAAGTGACGAAACTTAAATCTAGGAGCACAGCAGAGAAATTTCTTCCCGAAAATAGGCAAGCATTTTGATATACACAATTGAACATATGTGGTGGTTATTTGTTTTTTAAGCTATGAACAAGTGCAAACAACTGTTTCACCTATCTGCAGGACAAAGTGCCAAAGCAGCTGCCCCGAGTTTTATGCTTCACAGGAAAAGCAAAAAATTAATATCCCATGTTTTTGCACACAGCTTGAGAGAAAGATACAAGCGCCAAACGTTACACGCAAAGGTAAAGAGATTCGCTAGTGTAACTGAGACTAACTACTAGCAGCTTTTCACAAGAAGTTATGGCCAGGACGTGCCTTCATTCCAATTTAGTCACTGCCTTGTCCCCTTTACTTCCTGTCTGACGTAACAGTCGTCGCACTTTCTTGTGCACTGGTCGCAGTCAGTTTCGATACCGAACTTTAAATTCGATGACGAATATCTTAAACTTGGTGAAACTTTCGTAATTTGAAGAAAAAAAAAATGAGTATGCTACAAATTGGCATGCGCTACAACTTTCTATTCAAACTGCTACTCTCATGCCAATAATTAAAATGTTAATTAATGACCTTACATTGATGAAACAGTGTCATTTTAGCAACAGCGAAGTATCGCCACCTAAACATAGAGTTCGTGTGCAAAAACGGCAGGAGCCTTACTGTCATAAGATTTTTATAAAAAATCTGTATTGCCGAGAAAAAAAAAAACACACTGCATACAGCGCATCCACGGTATAAATGTCATCATTTATGGTATGTCATGTATATTCTGGCATCTGATTTGAGGAAATGACTGCTATTACACTTTCTAATACTATAGTGAATTCATGCCCCAAAACATTATCTATCCTTGTCAAGCCATGCACATTTCTATGCACAAGATGTCTCAGCTAACTAGAATCGAGACTGAAAGAAAGAAGATAAAAAAAAGGGTCTTAATATCACGTCCATCAAATAGCATGACGTGCAGTACAGTGCGGGTATAAACTAAAGCAACCATGCATAAACCAAACAATGCACGGAAATAGTAGTGTAGTGGCACACGAGCATGCGTCTCTTTTATATTTGGCACACTTCAGGTGCTTCTGATTTCGAAAAACAACACAAAAACAAAATCAGACAGACTTCAGCATAAAGTAAGTGCTTGATTCTGAAGTTATCAGAGGTGGCTTAGCTTACAAATTGTAGTAAACCTTTTACCAATTCAAGTGAGAATTGAAATAATAATAATAAAATTATTATTAGTAGTACAGTGCAGTCCACTTATAACGATACCACATATAACGATATATCGGTTATAACGATAGGTCGACTTAACAGTCTCATTTTATGCATTGGGGCTATGGGGAAAAAAACCATATATAACGATATGTTATCCACCGCATATCGGATACAACGATGAAAAGTTTGCCGTGGACGGCATGTTTCATTCAGAATAATCGTAACATTTAGATTGATAAGTTTTTCTGAAACGAACTATGCCGAGACAAGACGAAAAGTTAGCGTAGGCGAGTACGTATCTGCCGCCACTGCAGGACAGCGCCGGCAGCGCGTCCCGGCCGTTCAAAAGCCGAGGAGAGCATCGCGAGTTGGCGCGACGCGCTACAGATGGCGCCAGCTGTGTCACGTTTTGCGCCTCGCCGCGCGTCGACCGCGGAGAGGCTGAGAGAATTAAAAAAAAAAATGCGAAAAGCAAAGCGCCGCGCTCCGCGGCTCCCCGCCTTCTACAACGGCAAGCCGGCAAGCTACTCGTAGCTTGCCGAACGAAAGCGGGAAAGAGAGAGAAAATAAAAAAAGCGAAAAGCAAAGCGGCGCGGCGGCATGGGGCACCTAATTTCTGTCTGCCTTCAGGCGACACGGCGCAGTGCCTTATAGGGGTGGGGGGGAAGGAGGGATAAAAAGAATAGAAGGAAAATAGAAGGAGAAGAAGACAGCCAACGAGAGAAAAAAGAAGGAGATAGGAAAGTGGGAATCCGGTCGAAGCAGTCCAAGGGCGGGGTGCCACAATGCGAGAGCTGCACGGCTTCAGGAGACCGCGGAGGGCGAACCAGTCGGCGGGAGCTACGCTGAAGTCGGAGATCGCGAGGGCACAACCGTCCAGCTTGAAATCCTGCGAGCGAATCCCTCGTTGGCATTCCGGCTGTGTACCTCTGGCTGTGCTTTCTTCCTCCCACTGCTCCCACCCCGCCGTCGGTCAGTCTCTTTCTCAGCGAACCCGTGATGCGTTCTTCGGAGTAAGAAATAAAGTCTTGTTTTTGACATCCTACTATCTACAATATTTATTAATTGGTGAAAATAGCAAAATGAAGCCTGGAGCTACAAAAGGTACGTCCGGCGACGATTTTTTGGCGGCAGTCCAGATATAACGATCACCGGTTATAACGATCATATTTTTAGGTTTTCTCGATATCGTTATAAGTGGACTGCACTGTAGTAGTATTACTGTATGTTTTTTCAACGTAACATAAGCACGGTATGGTTATGAAGCCCGCCATAGTAGAGGGTTCTGTATATTTTGAAAATAATGTGCACTGACATTGCACAGTATATGGGGCAAGAATGAGAAGGCTGGCTAATTAATGGTATTTATTATTTAATAGTTAACAATGAGAAATAGCAGATTGCAAGCACACATGACTACCACTAATATAATGCATATAAAACCTCCTAAGAGCACTTTTTTTCATTTTTTTTTTTAATTTGGTCAGAGTTAGCTGGCACTCCCGATATATACATTTACTCAGTAAAACAACTATGATGGCTTCTGATGCACGCATCATGTCACTCATGCTGCCCTTGTCACGATACAGATGGGATGCACTGGGTGACATTCATGTCACGACAAGTCATTCATCTTCGTCATGCAGGAGTGTCATGCGATGCACACCCAACTAACGAAACATTGTACGAAACAACAACTAGCAGGGAGATTTGTGCATGGACAAACCATCGGGTGCGGCATCATTCCCGTCCAGCGGCGCTGCGTCCTCCTCGGCATCTCTGCTCGAGGGCTCCGCCAGGGGCACCGTGTTATTGCAGCACAATTTCAGTTCGTGCTCCACTGCCTGTGCCCAATCGGTGGTCTTCAGGGATACCACTATGCGCTGCCCATCCACCTGTGGTAGAGTTTAAAAAATTATTGAAAGGAACCAGCACTCTACTTTCTTCTTTTATAAAAGTTGTCCAACCAAATTAACAACCACTGCCAACGTGTGAAGCCGCACTAGAAAGCAAACTGTTTTTGATGTCGTGAGCACTGTGGAACTATATTTTGGAGCATTCAGGCACAAAAAATGGTTGAGTGAAGCCCAATTTTACACTGGGTAGAACTCGCACTGAATTGGCTAGCGACTAGGTACAAATGCCGAGCCGTTCTCTCCTTGTTCGTTATCTCTCTCCTTTGGGTGTAAATGTTAACGAGAGATGAACTATAGCCCCCTCTAAACCGCATTGCACACTAAACAAGTTGTACATAAGATCCTTCAAAAAAAGAATAGAATCAGACTATGATGCATCACAAGCGTTTGTGAAGAAACTAGGGCGATTCGGAAAAGCTCACCTGTGTACCTGAAAGGTGTGTAGCTGCTAGCGCACTTTGGCCTTCCAGGAATGTCACCCAAAGCATGTCAGCCACATACCTGGGTGTGTCAAATGCAATCACACAAGTTCAATTTTATGAATTTAAAAGTCTTAAGAAAGTTTTAGGGAACGAAAATGTAAAAAAAAAAATTATTCATAGATTCTGCCTATACTGATGCATAACCTTGCCAGCTTTCATGCATCCTAGGCTATCATTAATGCAAGAGCGTTAAAATGAGTTCATTGTGCTGGCGGCGGTAGCGGCGTCTTTGGTTGCGAGCGAAAAAGCCTGTGAGTGAAAATCTGAGAAACATTTAAATAAAGAAAAAAGCCAGAGAGCGCTTGAATTTCGACCTTCCTCTAACACAGTTTAGTTCTCCATAGAGGGCTGAAGACGAAGGTGATAGTGTCTGTGAGTGTTTGTGTATGCACGCACGACAATCACTCTTAAAAGCGAAGCTGAAGGGTTCCCCAATCTTTTTTTTAGCTATTATAGCCTGTTATATCATGCCAGTGACCAACATTGTTTTATCTTTATATCTTGCTGTTTCCGAAGTTTCGGTTTTTCATGATCCTACAATCTATTAATGACGGAACTTTCTCTACCTCAGAGTATTCATTTTGAACTTGTGCTAAGAAAGCTGAATTTTTAAAGAGCACAAAAGGGTGTACATTGCATTGTTACCTTTGGTAGTCATAAACGTTTAGAAAAAGTAAAGTAAAACTAAAGCTTCTCAACCTCGCCTCTAGGAAAGCTGGAACCATAAAACTGCATGCGTTGGATGGCTCATTAACACGCGCAGAATCCAATTACGTTTACTATGGCAAGATTTGTGCCACCGTTCTAACAAAAATGTGATCATATCACATATAAATTAGATATGAGCATATGAAAACACATAACCACTAAAGCTTTCGTCATCCTAGCCTAAATAATATAACACTTGATGTCAAAAAACTGAATCACCCTTAACAGAGACAAAACTGACTCCCTGACACAAATAAATGACACAAAAAGTTGTGCCTAAGACAAAAAAAGTTTTTAGTGAGCATGACAACAAACTCTAGCCATTTATCTAACTCTTAACTAATTTTATGTTTTTCATTTGCCTTGGTGGTGTGGTTGTCATGGTGTTTTACAGCTGACCCCAAGTTCAGAGGAATAAATCTCGAGTGCAGTGGTCAGCATTTCGATAGAGGCAGAGTGCTAGAGGCATACGTGTGTGCTTGGATACAGGCGCACATCTCCCAGTAGTCGTAAGCATACCGTGGTTTTGGGGCGTAAACCCCAACAATTATTAACTCGTTCAACCAAGGCTAGTACCATGTGGAGAAAATATGAATGTTGCTCGATGTGCGAAGGCACTAGAGAGCACGGCTTTACCTGATCAGGATAACCTCGCCAACCGTAGCAAACGTTTGGATAAGCGCTGCGAGGAATGTGTCTTCGAAGGCAGCGCCCTCTTCTTCCAGGTGGACCACAACAGTGCCATCCGGTGGTCCCATAAGCTCTACGACCTCTCGAAAGATCTGTTCTCGTACAGCTTCGTCCACCTGGGAAACCTCGATGTCAATGTCGGCCACCACGGGCCTGAAATGTTTTCAAACAGAAGAGCCACGATTTGTTAGTGGCACAAGCAATGAGTCAAGATTTCGTTTCTCTTCGAAGCACTTCGCTTGAGCACTTACTCATGCTTTTCCATGTATTCAGATAAAATCTCACAAAAATAAAGCTGCTATGAAATCAATTGTGTCAATTCAAGTTAACAGTTATATTGCATACATATGATATTGGAGAATGAGTTAACGTAAAATATGGGCCCATTAGTTGTCAGCATGATTAATGAAAATTAATTGAATGAGTTCATTGAAAGAGCAGTTGGAATCGTTAAAGGGGCCCTGAAACACTTTTCTGAGTAACCATGGAATTAATTCACTGGAAGAGCTTATTGCCTCACAAATTCAACACCGTAAAAATTTTAAAAATCCTTCCAGTACAAGCGAAGTTACAAAGATTTATCACACGCTGCAATCGCATTCTCTCTTCTCTCGTCCCGACAAAAGCGCTGGAAGCTAAGCAGAGAGATATGGGAGGGGCAAACAAAAAAAGTCATGCGCGCCCCGTGACCTTGAGCACTTTTTTATTTTTATTTTTTCGAATGCACGACTTTTTCAATGCAATTGTGTGTACATGTGTGGACAAGTGACGACCTTCCGCGGTGATCTCAGTAATGACCGAGCGCGCCATGTTAAAATCAGCCAATGGCTGATAGATGGGCATTCTACTAATTATTTTTGAGAGTCTTCCATCCTTTGTCGAGGGAAGAGAAAGCAATTTTTAGCGAACTTTGATAATTTATTGTGAATTCTAGGTTACGTCTGGCACTGTAACATTTGGCTCGCATGTTTTCGGAAGCCTCTACTACGGATCGGCAGCGTTTTCTGACCATCATCAAAAAGGGTTGCAAGGCCTGTTCAAGGCACCTGGTGGAGAGGATCTCAAGCACGCACTTCTTTCTACCCGGCCTCAGAGATCCGCATAGCCAGTACGACAAAATATCAAGTTACTGTATTAACTCGATTCTACCGCGCCTTCGATTGTAACGCGCACCCGGTTTCCACGATGAAAAAAAAAACGTAAGACATCAATTGCAATGCGCTCCCATTTTTCTCGTTGACCCACACGATCACACCACTCGGGAAAAAGACTCCTTTCGGGAGCATCTTCCGTTTAAATATGAGGTACGGGGGAAGCTTGTGCCTATCTGACATGCAACGTGAGCATTGCCGTCACTCTACACTTTAGTTTTACCATGGCCCGATGTCAGCACGCGAACTTGCTTCGCGCCCTTCTTCTCGACGGTTGTGGTGCCAGGCATGTCGAACTAAAGAGGCGTCTGATCGGCATTCCCGATTTGCCCAAGCAGGTAGCCGTTGTTGCGCCGCAAGTTTAGGACGAACCTCTGAAAACTGTGAAGCTTTTCATCGTACTCCTCCGCAAAACTTTTCGCATATGCATGTTCCCCTTCAGAGGGAAAAGCCTTTCCTCTTCATAAAGTTAGTTAGCCAGCACGTTCTCGCTTTAAACTGGCTCCGCATTAGACCTTTTTCTAAGGCTAACTGCATAGCCCGCACTTGGAGCAGTTCTGTCGTCACGGGCCGCTGTGCCGCTCGCTGCTCAAGCACACACTTGGCGAGCAGCTATTCAATTTGCGGAAACCGACCCTGCTGTGGTCCGCTGAAGCCTTCGCGTGAATCTTTGCTGTCGACAATCTTCTGCTTTTGTTTCCGCCAGTCCCGCACGCACGTTTCGGGAGCTCGGAATGACCGTGATGCAGCCCGATTTACGTCTGTTTTGGCACACGTGATGACTTTTCTTTTAAAAGCGGCATCGTAGTGCACTCGTCGAGTTTTCGGAGTCGGCCCTTCCATTCCGTCGATGCTAATGCACACCAAGATGACGAACTCCTCAGCACATGTACGAAGTGCCGCACATGGGAAACACATATGCAGAAATGGCTGACGCGCCATGCCGACGCACGTAGGGGGGCAGCCATTTTGGAATGCCGATGGAAATAGAATGACCGTATTAATTTTTTTTTCGTACTCAATTCTAGCGCGCATGCGATTTATGAACTCGCTTAACCGGAAAAAAGGTGCGTGTTAGATTCGAGTAACTACGGTAACCCGAGAATTACACAAGGGCACTCAAAGTATAGCGCGCGAGAGCCACTGCCAGACACCCAAAGCAAAAATTAGTTTTGCCTCTAATTTTTATTTGTCCATCTTATTTAGAGAATACTGGAGGCTATTCATGAGGCTCCAGCTGGTGTGGATATGGATACATATAGCTAGTAGATGCACTACTGTCAGATCAATACAAGAACACCAAGTACTAAAACAACAACACACACAAAAAATAAAACAAGGACAGATAAGAAAACAGTGACTTAAAGAGGGGCGCTTATGAATTACTTCCAGAGACTGGACCAGAAAATCTGTGGCAGTCACTTGAAGAAGTCAAGGCACCAAGCTCTGAAGCGATAATTTTAAATTTTGTGCTCCACACAGATCAATTTGGATCGTATTAACAGTAGCAGCAAGCATGATCGTACCACTTGTAATCCAAGATGAGCTAGTCAGGTAATTCTGTTGGGCTTATTGGCACAACTACTACCCTTTTGAGATATGTCTAATGAATGTAGTTTGTTGTGTACACTTGACTTAGATTCCTCCTGCCACTTTATGGCTTGAAAGCTGTCCAAGCATCTGTGGATGCAATCTCTTTAATGATACTTTTATAATTACAATCATTTTGACCAAAAATTAAAGTAAGAAAGCTGTTATAGTAATTATTCAGCGCCATCTGAGGTATGGTGGCATTTCTTTCTGTTTGAGTTTCCAGACTTCAATTTAAAAAGAAGTTATTATTAAAAAATATTTATTAGTACAACTTGCAGGCACTGTGCACGCAATTTGGCTCAATGAGATACTGGAGCTAAGCAAATGTGCCAGGTAAATCCAACTAGAAAAAAATATCATGCAGATTCACTTGATAACGATACCCCAAATGCTAACACCAAGAAATCGTAAAAAAGAGAACATTTCAGTGAGGTTCTACTGTACAGGGTGGCATCGAAGCAATACAACGAAGCCTTTTACAGCTAGCAGAGCGGTTCTTTTCAAAATGTTTCTTATGGGTTGTAGTGGAGGGGTGATTCCATGAGAGATCGACACTGGTCCAAAAGTTGATATTTTAGATTTCATTGAGTATGTTATGTTGCGTGCACCTCTCACCAAGTAGCCAGAAAGTCCACTTCGTTTTTTAATTAACAGCATAACTTACGAGAAAAAAATATCAAACTTCAACAACACGGAGGCACCAATTTCGTCACCTGTCATTTTCGAAAATTGCAGATGCTTTAAAAAGACAAATATTTTTGTTTCAAAAAAGATATTTTTTACCTGTAATGCATGTCTAATGAAGAATGAATTCATACAGTTTCAAGTTTGCAAACCTTAAGAAAATAGCTTTTAAAAATGTCTCATTCTGCGACAGTTTAAAATAAGTTACGTATTCCCCATTTTTTTTCTCCGAAAGTAATACAAGCAGCGTTTTCAAACTTGACACGTTTTAAGGATATAGTGTGTTCATTAGGTACATAAATTATTGCTGCCGTAGGGCAAATGTAAAATTTTATATATTGCCTCAAAGTTCTCCTATTGGCAAAAGTGTACTCCTCTGAAATTTGAATAATCAAAAAACCCCATTTTCGATTTTACTTAAAATCTCGTAAATAGACAACCGAAGGCCATCATACAGTAATATAGAAAAACATGTTGCATTATTTTGTTTTTAGCGACAATATTCGTGGTACAAATCAGAGCTTTTCGAGAATGCGCAGATAAGTTGAGAAATCAAGAAATCGTAACAGAAAAGCGGCAATAAGCTTAAAACGCGAGTACACGTGACCGCATTTGGTGAAAAAAGGCTGTTTTACCAAATAGGAATAACTATTTTGAACACGATATTCTACAGTATCTGAATTCACTCTTACAGAGCACTGAGACTTCTAATATGTGGTGCCTCTCCATTACTGACACACAGATGGAGCTGCTGTGACGACCATGTGTTTGCAACACGTTGGGTAAGAGAATTGAATGTTGAATGAGTTCATAAACGATTCATAACAAATTTTTATCATTTGGGGCACGAAGACTGCCGCATTAGACTGAAGAACACGCTTTAGGGCAAGTTGTCATCCGTCGTCTGCTCTACAGATGAATTGCTGTGCACCGCGTCTCGGAGGCAATGCTTTAGATCATATGGTTCAAAGTAGGGACAAAGATTACGCTTCCCATTAATTTTATCGACAAAAACATTGTGAAATTCATTTTAACGTACTATACTTCAGTTTTGCATTCGCACTGTTGATACTTGCGCACGCTGTTTTACGTCTGCTCTGATTAAATGTGAGAGACATAGGAACAGACGACAGATAGATCGCTTTCGTGCTGCTGGTTTCACGCATAATTGCATTTCCAGTAATTTGAGCCTCAAGGAGCGTGGCGATGGCTGACCACTTCAGCCGGGATAGAGTTTTTTGTTCAGATTACCTCATGTTGCATAAAAAGAAAATATCTTATCAAAGAAACTTCTACAAGGTCGAAGACATCGGCCCGTTTGCCCTCCAGAAGCTTTTGCCGAAAGCTGCCCACCATGCACATAACAATGACCACGTCTGCCAGAACTGCTTCAGACGCCTCAGAGATATGCTGTCTTCGTCTAATGGCTTCTCAGCTGAAACAGCTGATGAGTTTTTGCCAGAAGAAGAAAAAGGCAGAAGTCAAGACGCCTGAAGCATTGTCACATATGCGACTGGAGAAGCTGCATGTGCAAAATAGCAAAGTTCATGCAGAGCCAAGACAACTTAGCAGCAATTCTACAGTAACCGCGAAATGCCACCGTAACGTGTGTAACCGCCACTTTCAACCATCAGATCTAAAATGCAGTGTGTGTGCCCAGTAGTTTAAGAACTTCAAGCAAGCCTATGAAGCGTGTTCTTCGTATCAAGAGTGCATGAGTTTGTTGACACTGTTGCCGAGTGATATAGAGCGCCGAAAATTCCAAGCGCTTATACCAAACTTGTCAGCTTACATGATATACAGATCTTGACACTGGCGCGCAAAACACGGGATATGGTTAGCACCGAATGCGGTAAAAAGGACACGGCTGAAACCAATGGACGTCCAGGCAGCTATGGCTTACTACTCCAAAGATGAGTATAGCTGCTCTCGGCAGAGTCCCAACAAAAAAGATGTAGTATGTGTTATCATTGATGGAAATAAGGAGCTTGTTTCAAAAAGGTTTATGACCCGTTCGGTGCGAGAGGCTTACAGTCTTTTTAGAGAAGCTAATCCGTACACGTCTATTGGACTCTCAAAGTTTTATTCACTGAGGTCGAAGTGGGTTCTTCTTGCACCACACAAAAAGTGTGCCTTTGTATATACTGTGCTAATGCCACGGAGTGTGTTTCTGCCCTACAACACGTCACAGATGGTGCCTACACGGCGGACTTCTTGAAAGAACTATATCTTTGCAGCTCTCCTACAAGTGATTGTTTTTAGGCCATTGTGACTATTGTGCTAAGGAGGAGGCTCTGACAGCCACATGTTTAGGAATCCCTGAAGATATTGGGGTAGCCTATGTAGTATGGGAAAATGGCAATCTAGTAAAAAAAAAACAGCCCAGGCAAGTGCTTTTCTGCGAGAGCTAAGTCTATGGTTCGTGAAGTGGATGACCCATGATTACATAAGATACATTCAAGAATCAGCAATACGCCAGGCAAAAGAGAACAAAGAAAAAGAATCTTGCATTTTTCACTTTGGTTTCGCCGAAAATTGGACAGCCATTTTACCGAATGAGGTACAGTCGTATCACTGGCACAAAAGACAGGTGTCTATATTCACGTGTGTCGTCACAAGGAAGCAATCAATTCAAAGTTTTGCCGTCATCAGTGATGACACATGGCATGATGCTGCACATGCCTGTTTTGCTCTACAAATAATCCACAACTATATGAAGGAACAACTTAAGCCTAACACGCATGTTACTCATGTTTCTGATGGTGCATGCAGTCACTTCAAAAACAAGTACCAGTTGTTCGAGTTATGTCAGAAAGATCATACATCAACAAAGTGGATTTCTTCGGCCACAGGACATGGCAAGAACTCTTGTGACGGCGTTGGTGGCCTACTAACGCATCAGGCTACGCTCTACAACCTCAGAGCGGCAAGCTCAGCTGTAATTATGTCGGCATCCCAAATGGTGGCACAAATGAGCGCGAAGCTCAAGAATGTCAAGCTGCTGTGTGCAAATGCAGACGAGCTAGAAACATTCCGTCAGTTTAAGAAGAGCCAGTGGAAATCGGTGCCACGTGTTCCAGGCATACGTTCTTGGATTGTTTGGCTAAGCACATTTGAGGGCACTGATCGTGGTCGTGTTTTGTTAGCGTCACGTACTGCTAAATGTGATCTGCAAAAGATGCGGCCATTTTGAGTGCACCTCTTGTTTCACGCAGTCACCACCAAAATACCAGTGAGGGTACTCCAAGCGCATATGCTTTTTCTAGCGAGACCCAACACTTGCGTTGGAGCACTTTCATGTTTGAGTTTATCTGCAAATATAGACAGATGTTTTGCAACTGAGTTATAGTGTCGAAAATTTCCTCTATTAGAGCTGTGTTATTAGGAGCATAATTGCGCCTTCATGGGTACGTATCTGTCACAGTGCTAAAACAGCCTTTCTTCACCAAATGCAACCACGTTTACTCGCGTTTAAAGCTCATTACCACTTTTCTGTTCCGATTTCTAGATTTCTCAACTTATCAGCGCATTCTCGAAAAGTTTTGATTTGTACCTTAAATATTGTTGCTAAAAACAAAATAATGCAACATGTTTTTCTATATTACTGTATGATGGCCTTCGGTTGTCTATTTACGAGATTTTAAGAAAAATCGAAGATGGGTTTTTTGATTATTCAAATTTCAGTGGAGTACACTTTTGCCAATCTGAGAACTTTGAGGCAATATATAAAAATTTACATTTGCCCTACGGCAGCAATAATTTATGTACCTAATGAACACACTATATCCTTAAAACGTGTCAAGTTTGAAAACGCTGCTTGCATTACTTTCGGAGAAAAAAAATGGGGAATACGTAACTTATTTTAAACTGTTGCAGAATTAGACATTTTTAAAAGCTATTTTCTTAAGGTTTGCAAACTTGAAACTCTATGAATTCATTCTTCATTAGACATGCATTTCAGGTAAAAAAATATCTTCCGTGAAACAAAAATATTTGTCTTTTTATAGCATCTGCAATTTTCGAAAACGACAGGTGACGAAGCTGGTGCCTCCGTGTTGGTGAAGTTTGATATTTTTTTCTCGTAAGTTATGCCCTTAATAATAGAGCGAAGTTGACTTTCGGCTACCTGGTGAGAGGAGCACGAAATACAAAATTCTCAATGAAATATAAAATATCAATTTTTGGACCCATGTTGATCTCTCGTGGAATCACCCGGGGAAACGGGTTATATGCAGGGGTTGCAGTTATACACGAGCACATACAGTAACGTCGGGTGGATGTCAAATGCGCTCCCTCACCTGTGATCAGATGTTTTGAGTTCAGCTCTACCATAATGCGCAATGCGTCCAGGGCTCCAGAAAGGGTCCTCTGCAAAAGAAAGGTTTTTTACAAAAATGTGTTTATAGGCGTTCACCGTGCGCAAACAGAGCGATGTGTGAACAGTAGGCTTGTGCAAATAGTGAATTTTAGGTTTCAAGCGAATTTCAAGTGAATAGTGATACTGGTCGAATGACTTCGAATCGAATTCGAATATAGTGTATATCACATATAAAAAAAAATGGGCGTATTTGTTATGACCCAACTAATCTGCACAATATACATTTATCAATTGAAACAAGACCTCTGCAAATGCCATTATTATTTTTTTTTTGTTCAAGAGAAGTAGAAACAACACTGAATAATAGAGAAATTGACTTTTGGGACAATGAAGTTATAACCTGTAAAATATGTTGCACTTTATTATTCACTATACTTCGAGCATATTAAGTCGTATAGCAAGATTTTAAGCCTAAAAAAAAGAAAAATGATGAACCGATGTGAGGGTGATATGTTCTTGACAGTGGTGCTTTGCGACAGTGCAGGTTTTTCCTGATTAAGTGTTTTCATGGCTTGGTACCGCTTTACTGCAGTGAAACCAACAAAAAATTACGTTCAGACTAATCCAGACCTCTTCGCTGTTTAAAACAAAAGCCCTGGAAGGATTCCGGTTTTGTGCACCGGCATAGCCTATAAGCCGTGGCGAGGAACAAAAGCCTCAGTGAGTAGCTGGCTATTTTTCAAGTTTTTTCCATGTGCCAGCCAAATCATTCGAATACACTTTTTTTAAAGCTACACACAACATTTCAAGAGTAAGTGCTTAACTCTAAGCACCCTCCTTTTATCTGAAAGCAGAAAAAGAGTTTTTTCTTGCTCAAGCACAACTTAAAAAACAAGCCTTTTGCTTCTGTGATAGAGGGTGATAAGTGAAGTGACCGAAAGTTTCTTGGGTAGCAACACGTGCTCCTGCTCTTGCTACGTTGAAACTGACCGAAAAGGCGAATACATCCGATTAGGTGCTTTTGTGGCTTGGTACTCAACAGCACAGGAACCACCTTTACAGGGGGTTACATGCAGACTAATATGCACCTACTTGTTCATTTCAAATACTTTGAAATTTTCCCTAATTTAAATTCAAATGAAAGCAATTTCAAATACTGTAATATTCGTTCGAATAGCTGAAGCATCCGAATATTCATAGAAGCCTAGTGAACAGGATCGGGACAATTCAATGATTTCATCACAATGTTTTTTTCTTTTTGCCCTTTCTCATTGATTTGATCAATGGTACGGTGTCAACAGAGTAAAAGAAGTTATTACTTTGTGCCGAACAAACTGTTGTACTGGCCAGGAAAGAGGTAAACTAGAGCATGTCAGAAAAGAAGTTACATAAATTGGAAGTGTTTGTCGACACCTTAATAGAACTACCTGGCAACGCTGAGCATTTGCACCTAAAACACCACAGTACCGTCAACATGTGCTGTTGTACCTCCACCAAATACATACCTAACCATGCTAAAATTTGCTATGCTAAGCGTCAACAAATGCTAAAGAAAAAACAAGTTTTGCAAGTGTCACAGGTAGTTGTGAAGGCAGAAAATGAAGTGTGCATTCTGAACTGACCCAACCTGTTTGCTCTTTGAATGCATGTTATAATACCAGAACTTCATAAAAGCAACGATTTCTGTATAAAAAAAAATATAAGGAAGCATTCTTATGATAATAGCAATAACATTCGTTAACAAACTAACACAGCCTCATCATCAAAAAGCTCTAATTTAGTAGTACTAGCCAACGAAAACATGCAAAAACATGAGTGGCAGTCAACACTCTCTCAAAATTTGTGTTTGTAAAGACACAATTTACCAACTGTGCAATCACAGCCACCACTGGATAGTGTTACGCAGATATTAAGGAGACAATGAAGTCAAAGGATGGATCAGTTTTCACAGACAATATGACAAACTATAGCTCCACTATTGTTAATTTCACCATAAAAGGTTTATTCATAGAAGAAAAAACGAAGGCCAATGTTTTATTTTTGAATATCATGTTGTGCTCATATGTCAGTGTCCCGTATGTCATGTGCCCGTGTATCAGCATATGTACAGTGTCAGGATTCAGTGTGAACATCAGAGACTTTTTGTGGCTGAACTTCTGGTACAGTAGTGCTTGCCGTACGCAAGTTAGATACAGCAATTACATCAGCTGTCATAGCAACAGATTCCCTATCTCTCTGTGCGGCACTTACTGTTGTTGCTGATAACCAAGTAACAAAGGCGTTCCAGTGCACTAGTGCCTGCGCATTTGAGAAAAGGTCCGATTAGTTTGGGTGCGTGGACATAAAGGCTTATTTCTAAATGAAATATCCAATTCCTTAGCTAAGTTGTCAATGAGCGAACCGATTCTACCGCACTGTCCATCATCTGTTTATGTAAATGCTGCTTGATTCCGCAGACGTACGCTTATGGAAGTCTTTAGAGATACAGCACTAACAAATCGCCATTTATTATCACCGTGGCGAAGAGACTTTTGCCGCATTCAAAGACAAGAAGTAGCTATCACAAGGCTGCGTTGCCAGGTACCAAATCTAAATTTCTATAAACACAAGTCTGCTCAGGCACCTTCGCCACTGCGCGTTCTGTGATGAACTGGAAACAATAGATCATTTCTTTGTGACCTGCAGCCAGTTTAACACATTATGAAAAACCCTTTTAGAAGTACCTTTACGTGGTATTGGTTGATTTATATATGGGGTTTAACGTCCCAAAACCACCATATGATTATGAGAGACGCCGTAGTGCAGGGCTCCGGAAATTTTGACCACCTGGGGTTCTTTAACGTGCACCCAAATCTGAGCACACGGGCCTACAACATTTCCGCCTCCATCGGAAATGCAGCCGCCGCAGCCGGGATTCGATCCCGCGACCTGCGGGTACGTGGTATTGGTATGGACTTATCTCTGCCAGTCATTTTGTCTTTTGGAGCTTCCATTTCTGGTTTCTCTAATGCGACAGTATGCGCGGCTGTCCGGGACTATATTGATAAAACTAATGTCATTTTGTCTTTTGGAGCTTCCATTTCTGGTTTTTCTACTGCGACAGTATGCGCGGCCGTTCGGGACTATATTGATAAAACTAATAGGTTGACTAATTAACCTGTTCGATTATCCTAACATGTCTACGAAATTATATAAGCGTAAAAATCAGAATATTGCTCTATTCATAAAATAAATTTGTTTATGTAAATATTTGCATGTATTACATTAAGCACCACATTTTCCTAGGCTATCAGTAATCTTTCTGTTATACCTCCATTATTCGAATCTGAACAGTAATTTTTAAAACCACTCGATTCTTGGCCAATCCCCCCCCATAGTGGGAATGCGCCACTATCAATAGATGAACAACAACAACAATGACTTCAAAAGAGTTCAATCACTCATTCAGTCAATCAAACCATCATGTTACAGTTGGACAATTTCACATTTTGTCCACACTGGCTCAGCAAAACTTTCATAAACATGGCACATGAAGTTATTTTCATCAATAAAGGTTTACGCAGGGCCCCAGAAGATGCCATTGAAAGTTTTGATGCACCAGCGAATTGGTCCAGCAACCTGAAGGCTGCGACATGTCTTGTCTTCTCTTTCTACATTTCTTTCTAGCGTACCAAATGTTGTCTTGCCATCAATATGGTGCTAGCAGTACAGTAGACTCTCAGTAATCGTAAATCTGTTTAATAGGAACTGCTGCTTAAATGAAACAAATGCTTCTGACAAGATTCGTTTCGTTCTTGCATTGTGTGCCCATAGTCATCTCTCAGTAAACAAAACTCCTGTTAAATGGAACACACTTTACTGGCCTATTTAGGTTCATGTTTAATGAGAGTCTACTGTATAACGAAAGGCTAATTTACTAACACAAGAGAAATCTTTTATTCTTTAGTGCCCCTTTAAATAGTTTATGAAGCCAGTTGATCTACCCACCAGTCTCCGAAAGTAGCCGCCGCCTGCGATACAGTATTCGATCCGTCCATGCTGGGACCCGGCACTTATCGCTCGTGTCGTAGTCGTCCGAGAAGAGATCGTACTTGTAGGTGGGCGCAAAGTTGATCTCCCCTTCTATGAAGTTCTTGAACACCTGTTGTCCGAAGAAGACAAGCAGTCATGTGCAAGGATGCATAAGTATATCTGAAGGAAATAAAAGTCCATGCAGAACTGAAACAACTGATAGACAAAAGCGTGCCGATAATACACAGAAACAGGGTTACATTACAATGTAATAATTAGAAAGCTTTGCCGCTTTCAGTGGACCCACTGAAAAGATACTTAGCCTTTCATGTATTTATAAGCCGTATTTGTGCTTTCTTCCTATATACATTCTCTTCAGCATAAATAACTTTTGTGAGGGCTGGCTCAAATGTGGCAGTCTCTCAAATGGAACGTGATTGGTTCGTGAAACTTATCCTGATCTCTATTCAAGAACAATTTCTCTACAGCCAGTTTCGTTTCTAAATGTTCACGCTGAAAACCAAATTATCTAATCACGTAATGCTTGCATAATTTTTGCATTGTCCCCAAGCTGTGATCGTGTGGCGCACATATATTTGACATAGTACATAAAATGAGCGTTACTCTGAAATATAAATAAATAAGTAAATAAATATTCAGGCATGATGTTACACTTGGGCCATTTCAGTATACATGCACATTCCAGGGGCCATACTATTTTCCCTTCTCATAGCCTCACTGTTTCTTTAAAATCTAAATCAATAGAATCATTTGATCAGTGAAGCAATAATCAGATGATATCTTTGGTCACTTGCAGCACAGTGTACTTATTTCGGCCCTAAACCATTTCTTCCATCTCTCATAACATCAGTGTTGCTTGAAACCTCATCAATCAATCAATCGATCAATCAATCAATCAATCAATCAATCATCATAATTAACACTATGATTGTAATATTCCTGCTTGTACATTTAGTTCAAGGTCTACACTACATTTGATGTCCGTCATAACCTCAATGTTGCTTTGAAATCTAAAAAAATCAACCATTAAACCAACCACTTCATTTTTTTTTTTTCGCTCTGAACATTTCCGTAGAAAACTTTCTTCGCATAATTCTCGCACCCCCTAGTTTTTCATCAATTTTCCGTGAAAAAAAAAAATGCGAAGATTATGCGAGTAAATACGGTATCCCTAAATTTTCTGCCAAGGTGCCAGTTGAGAAAGAAAATGATTGTGCAACACAACAGAAAATAACAGGCATTTTTGGAGAACCGTTTGAAGCCTTTGAGGGCTCAGAAGAGTCGGTGTGTGTGTGCGCCTGTGTGTGTGGGGAGGGGGGGGGGGGGGACAACTGAGCGCAGCGAAGAAACCACCATCGCCACGCGGAGGCAGTCTGCCACTTGGCCCTTCACAAGCACTCAAAGTATTTTTTTTTCCCACACATTAATGACAATTTTTGCCCGCAGAATGTATTGTACAACTTCAGTTTGCCGCAGTGCCGAACAGTGCTGCCGAATAATCATATTTTCTGGGAACGAGTTAAGCAGAACATGTTAACACACAGCTCCAAGGGGACACTTCTAGTTTTCGCGATTTCGATCATAGGAGCCAAGAAATCTTATTACGCAGGAATGTATCAATAAGGTTCTGCTGTATTCCTCAAGTCAAATGAGGTGTTAAGCCTCGCATTTCACTGTTATCGCAATTGTTTTCCCACGACAGAACAACGAGACAAGTGGGAGGATAGTTTCCACAGCTTTCGTCGACTGACCTGCCCCTGCTGCTGCTGCACTCTGAGCTGATCGTGCTTGAGTAGCTCCGCCCAGTTTCCCTGCTTGACCAGGTCCTTAACCTCTTCGTTCTCCAAGTCCACACGATAGTTGAAGTCCCCGCACCAGAAAACGTAGTCGTGGGAATTCAATGTCCTCCCCTGCGCAGTGGAACCAACAGACCGGTAATGCTAATTCAGAAACGTCGTTCGCAAATGTTTAATTTTTTAAGCGGCACGAGCCCATACGCTGACACTCTCATTTCTCTTCCAAGTAAACCCAGTTGAGCTCTTGTACTTTTCCGAATATTCATAATGAGTGTTTTGTCTGGCCATCGTTAGAGTGATCCAAAAGTGTCGTTGAGCAACCATGGCCACTCACTATTCCATCTATAGAGCAGCATGTATGAAGCAACAAGACCCAGTCTACGTGCACTAAGCCGGGAACCTGCATAGCATGTAGTTTTACCACCTGGAATAAACCTCTTAGTTTTTGTTCACTACATCAAGTGATAGGCCGACTTTTTTTCCTGACTGCAAGTGTTTAGTACCCAACAAAAGTCTTCTTAAAAACAGAAATAATTAAAGTTAAGCATTAATTTAGAATAATTAATTAAAATGAGTTGTTAATTGAAAGATTAGGATCCACTGCAACATTGCGGCACCAGGTGGCACAGATTTCAACCCCGCGCTTCTATCTACATTGCCTCCTAGACCTTCTTCGGTTACCTGTGAAACATAAAGTTAACCCTAGGAATACAGTGGGGTGCACTAATTGCGCTGAATCAAATGCCACGACTCGACAAGTACCACGGGAACTTGTGGCACAGGAAAAAGGTACGCACTAAGGAAGACATACTGTTGTCTTTCTTAGCGCGTCTCCTTTCGCTCGCCACAAGTTTTTACTGATGTATGACCACCAACAAGCCCATTCCTTACATCCTACCGTGGTAAATCGATCGAGCACCCCCCCACCGGTTGACATCGGGATAATGCAGAAAAGGTTGGCAAAGGGGCTTACTGCTCAAAACTGCCCAGAAGTTTAATACGGCGGCCAAAATGCTTAGAACCCTCCTGTCTTCCACTTACTCAAAGAAAGCTAAACAAAAAAAATCTGTATACTAGAAATAAAAAGCTTCAATAAATAGCATTCGTTAAAGAGCCATGAAATTATTAATGCATTAAAGAGCCATCAATCGAGCTCTCCAACGCTTTCCTGATACATATGTTGGTCGCTGGAACGCTGACACGTTACCATTACAGTGCTGCTATCTCCATGCATGCAACGAAAAACCATTGTGTCGGCTACTGACGCTTTCAGCAACATGAGAGGCCTTTCCTTGAGTACCCATCTTCCTTTTCGTTTACCTGGCTGTATCTAGAGGTACGTCCAGATGAAATTATAAACAGTAACTCAAATTAAATCCAGCGTGTCACTTCACAGTGAGCACTTGGTTCTCGATATTCTACTAAACTCTGTGCTAACTTTTGCATCACTAGGGGGTCAGCAACTTAGATTGCTGCCTTGCACCGTGTTTTTGGCGATCTCGCTATTTTGCTAGGGTCAGTACTATCGAGAAAAGAACGTGAGCTACTGACAATGAGATACCCATGGCTGATACCAACATCATTCTCTCTAAAGAACAATGATTGTTTTGAAGACTACATCAATATTACAATAACATTTGAAAAATTGGAGCCAGTTCCACATCATTGAAATAGTCAGACAGCAAAGCTGTAAGCACGGGACTGTATGCGAGTGAACATTATCATCATCATCACCCCTATTTCTTTTTTTTTTCTCCGCTCTCTCAGGTCACGTGACCTGGGTGACTACGACGACTACTACTACAATTACAACAATGTTACACAGTAGATTAACAATACTTTGCCACAAAATAAAAAGAGTTATTCGAAACTGAGGCTTTATCAGCTCCAAGTGCAGCGCACTGTGCGTCAGTCTACTGCACCACCAAGCTTATGAAGGAGTGTCTAACAGGCCGCATTTATTTATTAACATGCTGTATACAACCTCTGCAGCCGTGACCGCCACATCTTCCTTTTGATCGCAGCGCCAAGAAAGGAAGCACAAACATTTGTTGGCCGCGTGTCACCGAACGTGCAGCGAGTCCTCACCATGGGAAAGGAGACCTTGCGTGTGATCTCGGCATAGTCAGCATTCCGTTCTGACACTTTGGACTGTCCAGCAGCAAAGTGGGCACACACGAAGCACAACTGAAGTGCTGTGGAAGAGCAAGCCGAATGGCCACTCCGCCCTTGTTTCCTGTTGCTCCTCCCAGGCCTGTCTTGACCGTGTCCACCGCCACATCCCTGCAAAAGACGAGCAAGGTTTGGAATAATACAATAATAACTTTTCTATGCCTAACAGATGTAAAACTGTTTATCATACTTTTGCAGAGCTTAGAGAGCTCTAACATTCGCTTATTGCTCCATTCATTTATTACACATACTGCGACTCTTGCGAATGAGTGCTCAGGAACGCCGCAAGGTGATGGGAAGGTCATGTAAGACACAATTGACAACCACCCGTTTGTTGCTTAAAGCCACAAAGAAATCCATCCGGGCTTCTCAGAAAAAAAAGCCTGTAGCTGAAGAAAAAAAAATTGTTCCTGGTTTGGCCGATCGAACCTCAGACCAACAACATTCAGGGGTGGTCATTCTACAAATTTACAAAATCAAGCCTTCCGATGCACAATTCGGAAGGCTGCCAAACATTCGGGAGTATCCCGGGCAAATTGGGAGAGTTGGCAGGCAGGCAAATGAGCATTCTTTTCATCGAATACGCTGTCAGCATATCGATAACTTTTGTTATGCAGAGAGCTTCTGCATTAGTTTTCAATTGTCCATGTAGAGCAGCACTGTAAGTAGAAGAGAAACGTAGTTTGTAGGTGCCCAACACAGAACATGCCGACATTCTTTTAGGCAATTTCGATGGATTAGATGATAACGCCGGAGCTGCATGGCAAAAACTGCCTCAGTCTTTAGCTATACTGGTTAACGCAACCAAGAAAATCTTGAGGCTGGTCAGGCATTTGGGTGTAGCATGGTGAAAGTTTAATAAATTCCATGGCTTTAGGCTCATCTTGGCCCAATTGGCACAGCTGTTGCACCCCTGAATACGATTATGTTCTGGAGCAGGTAAAATACGGCTCTACATTTGTACTGACCTGATGTAGGCGGCGTGCTCGGGCCGTACAAAAATGAACAGGCAGACGCCGACCAACTGCGCCGAAGTGAGCAGCACGTATTTCTGTTTCTGGCTGATGGTCTTCTGGAGTTCTACCATCCACTCCTTCTGGCTGGAAGAGCTGTATAGTGTGGAGAAAAAAATAGCAAAATAAAAAATTGTATAAACGAAAGGCCAGCCAGAACATGGCTTAATGCGGGAGGGGGTGTCCATTCCACGCTTTGGGACATTTCAAGTAGATTACGATGATGCAGTGTTCTATGACATAACAGACATGTAGTCAAAGAATGCCAAATTAGATCTTGAAACAAAATACTTGCACATACTAGAATCAGGTTTGCTAGTATAATGTTTAATCTAAGTTGAACATGCAATCTTCCACAGAGGAAGAGGCAAAACTCAGCCATTTGTGTTTGCACGTGATAAGAAGAAGTCACTGTATTGAGGTAACAAAGTACTTGTACATTTTACAAGCTGTGTTTGCCTACAAGAGGCTACATCTTTGAGTAGTGGATAAGATCAGTGTGCAGCTACACAAAGCCAAACACTGCTGCACTTCCTCCTCTCTTCTAGCTCCCCCTGGTGCAGGTGAGTTTGCATTCTACCTAGCAAAAAACTTTCTCATAGCTTTGTAGCCGGGCGGTTGAGTGTAATAGGGCATCCTTTAAACACGGAAGTGCAGAGAGGAAGGGTGTTTCACTAGAAGCATGCGCTGCCTTTCACGTACAATGTGACATTTATTTGATATGATTACCAAAAGTGGCAAATGAGAAGAAAATTATCAGTGCTATCTTTTTGATGATGAATGCTAGTGCATACACCACTCCAATGTGCCACAAATGTGCTCTAAGATATCGAAATGCCCTCTTTTTTTTAAACAAAAACCAAATTTACTATCTACTCAAAAAGGGATAAGCCATAGCAGGCCTTACGGTATGAAGAACTTTATTTAATGATCCATAACAGGCCTTCGAAAAAATAAACTTTGAGGTAAAATATATTAGGCCAACCTCGAGAAATCAACAACACAAACAGCTACCACTATTTTGTTCTTGCAACAAGCACCAGATTCAAAGCAATGAAAGAAAGTGATCATGCAGTTAAAATATCAGGGGACCCTAAAGCTTCGCCTTTAGAAGTCGAACGCGATAGCGACATCTTGTTCCTAGTGCGTACTTCAGACACTTAGTGCACGAAACCTCTTCTAATTTGCTTATGCACCCACAGTGTAGCCTTAAGAAAATAGGCGCAGCTGCATGAGTGCCTTTTGTAGTGGGTTACCGACTTTAAACCACAGTCCTAATAATATCATGTTCTCAGGCCCAATGGAAATGGGCGCTTGTAACACGCATTATTACTGTAATATTTCATGTTGTCTTGTGAAGCATGTACACAGGGTGCGTGTGTTTGTAAAGCATGCGTTACTTTCACTGTATTTCCAAGCAGAGAAAGTTTATTCACTGTATTCACAAGCAGACGCATGGCTGTGTGGTAGAACATCCGCTTGCCACGCAAACGATCCGAGTTCCATCCCCACTTGGATTCAGGATTTTAAAATTTTATTTGCATCCTTCTCAATCTTTAAGTCACGCATAAGGTGATCATTTTTCGCTCACAACCAACCACGCTGATACCAGAATTTATGCGAAACGAGTACGTTAAAAGTGTGGCAGCGTGGGCTAGTTGGTATGGCATGACGATAGTTATAGCGCGAGAACAAAATGACGACACAGAGACAAGAAGGACACGAAGGACACGAGCGCTCGTGTCCTTCGTGTCCTTCTTGTCTTTGTGTCGTCATTTTGTTCTTGCACTATAACTATCGAGTATGTTAAAGCTTCCTCACCTCACATTAACGATGTTCTGTGCGTTCAGGTCAACGATTTCCTGAAAGCCGATGGCATAAATGTCGGCCAGCGTGGTGTCAACTTGGTGGCTGACATCCACGAGAGCTGGGAGGAAAAAACAACAACAGAGCAAGCGCGTTACACCACTAAAGAACAGACAGCACGAAAGCTAAAACTGTTACCTGCACCTCGAAGGTGCAGGTACCAAGAAACTTCTGCTCTAACCTTCCGTGTAGTGCTGACAAGTATGGTTGTCATAAGCACCTTTTGCAAGTGCAGTTGATATTTGCATCAGTAAATCCGGCGAGTACATGGTGGCTACAGAAGTAACACGCAAGGCTTCCGGCTATTTATGACAGCAACTGAAAACTCTGAAAATGAACTAACTGATTTTGCTGGCATAGATAGCTTCATGTTGAAGCCACACATAGCAAAAGAAGCAGTTGACCATTTCCTATTTCTTTAAAAGGTCTAATCAGCAGTAAATGACCAATAAACTTGAAGACCTTATGCCTCTGAGTTCTCTTTATTTTGTGTATAAAGGGTTTAAAAATACTTAAATTTAAGAAATATGATTAAAATCATCGTCTAATCATGCGTGCTGTTACCATAGAGTTTTCTAAATATACACTAGAGGGAACTCTGGCACTAGTGTCTATGAGAGCTGCAACGCATAGAGCTTCAGCGAGCATGGGAATTATGGGTATGACATGTATTTGCCTAGTCTTCGTACTTTACATTCACTCTGGCTTTGCGTGGCTTGAAGCTGGTCTGTCACGAAACAGCAATTGGCAAATGTTCAGCAGTTAAGCTTTACCACCTTAATCTTTTAGGCTTACCACGTCAAATCGGGTCATGAAGTCAAAAACAGTTTGACTTTTTTTTTTTTCGAAAGAAAACCAAAACGCAGCAATAAACCAAGCCAAAAGTGTGTTTCGCCACCTACAAGCACGAAGACTAGGCAAATCCATGTCATACCCATAATTCCCGTGGTCGCTGAACGATCGCAGCGCCAGTGTCCCCTCTAGTTAATTTTAGGAAACTCTATGGGCAGAAGGTCACAAGAATCTGAATATGAACATCAGCCAACTACCACAAGCTTGCTTGTTCGTTTTTCTGCGCTAAGCAGGTACTCACCGCATCCGCCGCCAACTGCGCTATTGTCGACGAGCCAGTCCGACATGGGGTGGTTGCGGAAGACGACACTGTTGAAGTGCTTCCCGCCATTGACGTTCCACGTGGCCACTGTTACGCGGACCTTGAGGGGAATTGTGTATTCCAGCTGCCGGCTGCACATGGCCCTCAAAACACTGGGGGGTACTGGAAGCACACAACACATAGTACCATTGTCGAGGGGTTCATGTCAAGAGACGCTAGAGAGAAAAACAAGTTTTCTCACATCAGTACACTACTCTTCCACGAAAACAAAAACTCAACGCTTGCCCCCACAAGACGCTTGATTAGCAATAAGAAATCACATTAAAAAAAATGTGGGTGGCGACGTCTCACTGAGATTCTCGCACCAGTCACCCTGAAGTAAATTTTGACGTCATCTACTGAGGCCTATAATTTTCCTAATTAGTAAAATTAAAGTGCATAGCCTACAGAGAGAGCCAGACACTTGACAAACCAAGTTTTGAAGAAAGTTCATTGAGCTAATGTGGCCAAAATATGAAAAAGCGCATTGAAATTCGTGACGTCACCAGTGGAGATTCTGGTAGAAAACTTAAAAGTAAACTTTTTGACATTGATTTGGTCATCTATTATTGAACCACAGTGGTGAAATTAAGAACACTAGAGTTTTCAGAGTATATATATAACTCGAAAGGCACATCATTATATGGTGGCATTCGTGCAGTTATAGTGGTAGTACTAGGCACTTACCGTATCTTCTCATGTATAACCCACCCCAAATTACATTGCACACCACGAACTACAAGGTGCGACAAAAGTTTGAAAAGGAAACATCCCTGCGTATCAACCAAGCTATTCAACTGACAACTGTACATACCAACTTGATGCTACAATGAAAATGATCGCGCTAACTACCATAATTATTTGAATCTAGACCGACAATTTTTTTCAGATTTCTTTGCATCAAACTTCAAGGTCGGCTTAGATTCGAGAATTTTGAAAAACACTGCCATTTTTCACTAAAAAAAGTGGTGCACAACTAGCACCTCCTAGACAGTATTATAGCTGTTAGTAGCTAAGTTAACACCTGGCTGCCATATTGATCTTTGTAGTGAATGTTGAGGCGCGTCGTTTGTCATTTCGAGTCGCGCTTCGAGTGGTTTGTGTGTGGCGTAGCTCAATGGCGCCAAATAGGCGGTGCCGCTTATAAAATAAAAGTTGTCATAGCCACGGAGACGTCGTCCGACGTTCAAGCCGGGTGGGAGCTTTGGAGCGGATAAAAAAAAAGGTGTGCCACTGAAGGGCCTGCAGCGTGACAACAACCCTGAACTTTTGATTGTGCGCTCTTTTCAAGAAGTGCGGCATATCCAATGCGCTTGACGGCACCGAGGATTGCACACTGTTTGAAGACAGCGACAAAGAAGTTAGTGACAAGGGAAGCAACGATAACAACAGGGAATAAGCGCGATATCGAACTAGAAGCAGCAAAATAAAAAAACAATGTCAAAGAAACACACACAGGCTGTATGTTTCTCGAGTTATTTGCATTAGGAACCAACTGCTTTGTTTCATCTTCATGTTTCATATATGTTTTCTCTTTGCGAACTCCATCTTCGCTGTTTCGTTCGGCCTACGTTTGAGGCAAGTTTTTTTTTGGGGGGGGGGGCTTTGGACTTTATGGGGGTCGGCTTAGAATTCGGGTCAGCCTTGATTAGAGTAAATACGGTACGCTCATAAATAGAAAAAGCTTCCTTCTCACTAGATTAAAATCTCCAGTGAATCGCGCCAGTTATCACGTAAGGTAAGTTTTAGCCATCATTGTCACTGTCATGATCTCTGTATTGCTATGAAGCCACCTTGTAAACTAAAACTAAAAGTTGCATATAACTCATACCCTGACTTTACCTCTGAATTTTCTGCATCTTTTGTATGGTCTATATGCTAGAAAATATGGTAATCTTTGACACCGTTACACAAACAAGGTATGGAGACGTACCCACGTGAAGCAAGGTTAAAGAACCCCTGACACCAAATTTGGAAACCCGAGATACTTGTGTTGTTTGAGAGTCCTGTATACTGATTATTCGAGATGAGCATTGCTTGTGAGATATTTTATAACATTTTAAAGTAAGGGTGCGTGCTCGTCTGAGTATTCAGATGCGATCAACATTTCCCGTAGTTTGACGTCAACAGGGGGCTCCCTCGTGAAGAGATCAAGCAAGTATTGTTGGCGTTAAAGAACATTTGCGAGGTGCGCTTAATACCCAAGCTGGCATCCAGCAAGGACTATTGTTCTTCACCCCTCTCTTTCTGTTGTCCAACTGCCCTGAAGGTGGTTTTGGCTGCTTACACCAGGAACGCTTTTTTTTTTTTTTTCTGATGGGGACACGACTCAAGGCGTCCACATCATTTCATTCTTCACCCCCCATAGCTCTCCCTATTTGAAAACAGCGCGTTCAGCGTCACCGAAGCTTGAGCGCACATAGTCTCAGGCCTTGCTGTGGGGCACTAGTTTCTTATCGTATTTAGGCGGGTATTTTGAACTGATGCATAATTAGTTTAAAAAAAAAAAAGATGCTAGCATAGAATATACTATGCGTTAGAGCATTTACGATTCAATTTGGCATTACCATACGCAAAGCTACAAATCACAGTAAAAAAGTTGCAAACAAAACTTTCTTTGTCAGCAGTCCTTTAAAAGTGAAGAGAGGAAACAAAAGAAAAAAAATTGCTGCCAGTTCCACGCTGTGAAAACTGTCGCACGGCAAAGCTGTAAGCCCATGAGCGTATGTGACTGTACTCGTGACATGAGCGGCGGCAGCGGCGACTACTACTACTACTACTACTACTACTACTACTACTAAAACGACGACAGCACAGGGTGGACTAAAAGTTTCACTGTAACATGCATTGCTCCTCTGGACAAAATGTCGACTCACGGTGCAGCATGGCAGTGGGCAGTAGGGCCCGCGCCCTGTCGGCTAGCTCGCTGCACATAGCGCTGCCCAGCACCAGCACGTCGATGGCCTCTTGCTTGCTACTGTCCAGCAGGTTGTTCTGTATGGTGCGCACCATTGAACGGGAGCCGTCCTTCAGCTGCGCAATATCAAAACGACGTGTAATCCTTCTTCTTCTTCAGTAGTAAACGAATACTTTTCAGCTACAAGCAAATGCCACGGAAATCAGGCACAAGTTTGAAGGGTTAGTTAGACTTTACAGTCAAATCTGGAAACAAACGAGCATAGCGGTAATGAGCTGTAAGATGCCGTAATGTAAACGAGTCTCGAATGTTTATCCCAAGCAGCAACACGTAAGGAGAGCAAGCCTGGCAAGCGCACGCTTGTGTCGAATGTCGGATACAATGAAGGCATTTTTTTTTTCTTACATGATTTCATTATGAGGAGGTTCCAGCGAATGTCTGTCCTTTCCTGCGCGAGTCAGTTTACAGTAAAAATTTATGTCAAGCTTTGATCTTCCTCAGGACGAAAGGACAGATACAAAAATAAACCTGGGTACAATGCATATGTTCACTGCGTACAATGCATATGTTTCTCTGCCTCACCCTAATAAGCAGTGCATTTTCTCTAAATAACATGCATCTGTATATATTCGAAGTGCTCCAATATTGTTACAAATATTATGGTATTCTAATTCACTTTGATTCAAATTTAAACTATTGAAAATTTCGAAGTATTTGAAAGGAATGAATAAGCATATATTTGTCCGTATACACCCCCTGTAAATGTGGTTTCACTGCAGTGAAGAGGTGCTATACTGTGGATACAGCTTTCCGAAAAAATTCACATTGCAACGAAGGTTAAATGAACATAACCCACACATCAATACATTATTTATAGGCTTAAAAGCTTGTATTGGCTTGTATGCTGTAAGTATAGTAAATTTTAACACGTAATGTATTTTATAGGCCACCACTTGCATTCTACCGAAAGTCAAATCCTAGTACTATTAAAAGCTGCTTCCACTTCAACTTCACTTTGAACCAAAGAGGATGACATTTGTACATACCTTGTTTCAGTTCTAAGGAATATTAGGCAGATTAGTTTGAACATGACATATATACAAATTATTCTTTATTTATTTATTTATTTACAGAATACTGCCAACTCTCCACGAGGGTTATTAAAGGAGTGAAAAAAAAAAATACAAACAGTGTACGAGCAAGGTAAAGCAATGGCAACAAAAGAAGAATACGCATGAATGAAATGCACACATGAGTAACAACATCTTATGCGCAAAAGTGTCGCGAACACAGAATTTCCAATGTATATGAGACACGAGCATAAGAATACATTGACTAAAAAGACCAAGAGATTCAAGGAAATAAAGCATTAAAGTGTAAAAACTTGAAAGCACCAACATAAAATTTTCAATACGTTCTAGATATTTCTGAAGTGTTGACTGTGCTACAGTAGCTGAATTCAGCACATTCAATTTTCTATGTGATATATATCATTGGAATTCCATTCCAAATTATTCGATAAATCATTATTCGTTCGAACAAAACATTTACTATTTGCACAAACCTACCAAACACGTTAACCAAGCATACTCGGTTTCGCAAACAGGGTGAAAACGAGACGAAGTCTATGAGCGTGCAAGACAAAACCGCAGACTTCTGAAAGAGGTTTACTGCGCAGAGGGCCAGTGTAGTGTCTGGCCTTATTCTGTGCTCTGTTTTCACAATACGTTGCCAGCAGAGCACCTTCACAGCAACAAGCTCCGCTAATAATGATTTTGCAGTTCGTAGTCGTTATATCCTGCGTGAAAGCAACCACTAGCGATCGCTCTGTCTGTGCGACATCCTGTGGTTGCATCCAAACACACCAGCTCACCTTAGATTTTCCTTCCAAGGCACCCGTGCCAGCATAGATCTTGCTGACCTGGTCGCCGTTCTGGACCCACATCTGGCGAAAGACTTCCACGAACCTGGACACCACCTGCTGCTTGTCCTGAAGACCTAGGCAGGCTATCTGGCTTTCCAGAACCTGCACACACATGTGTGCATGTGCTTGATGATGAGCCGTGCCAGACAAAAGACGTTAACAAAGGAACGTGAAATGCTATAAATACCATATATATATATATATATATATATACATATATTGCTACGGGGCGCCACAAATGAACATTCTAGAAAAGAGGACGATGTTTAGCGCGAGCTCGTGCAGACCGGGCTCCATATTGTATGCCTGCCTGTTTACCAAAAGTAAAGGCATTTTTCAGACGCCTTCTCCCCGTAACATTTTGGTGGAGAGTGCGGGTCTTCCCACAGTCAACACCACGACGATTCTACGCAGCGGACGTTCCTTGGCTGCCTGTGCGATGCCTGATCAAGACGAACACGAGGATTCTTCGGAGACTACCCCAACCGTGCTTCGTCCAACTACGCAGCAACCAACAGCACCGCATCCAGCTGCTACTAACCGCACCGTCGTCCTGACTCAACCGCGTGACCCAGGCACATTTTCGGGCAGTGACAGTACTGACGTGGAGGAATGGCTTCAGCTGTACGAAAGGGTGAGCGCTCTTTACAACTGGGATCCGACGCTCATGTTGGCCAATATTATTTTCTACCTTGATGGTACAGCTAAAGTTTGGTTTTCCAACCACGAGGAAGATATCACGAGTTGGGACATCTGTAAGCAGAAACTCATCGATCTCTTCGGCAAGCCCATCGGGCGTCGTCGTGCTGCGCAGAAAGAACTAGCGTCCCGACTCCAGTCCGGCACCGAGTCGTACGTCACATACATACAGCATGTGCTCGCCCTCTGCCGGAAGGTTGATGACAAGATGCCGGAATCTGAAAAGGTCGCGCACATCCTCAAAGGAATCGCCGATGACGCTTCAATCTCCTCGTATTCGAAACTCATCGACCGTAGACGACGTTATTAATGAATGCCGACGCTTCGAAGACGCGAAAAGTCGCCGTATCACTCCACACTTTTCGCGTCTTCCCAACACGGCTGCAACATCAACCTGCGAGGACGCCCGTTTGGCACCAGCCCCTGCTGCTTCCGACAATATCGTGCGCATCGTGCGCCACGAAATCGAGGCAGCATCTCCCTGTCTGACCAAGTCCAGGCCCCTGACGACTCTCGCGCCACGATTTCTTTAATCAAGAGTGTCGTACGCCAGGAACTGGCCAACGCCGGACTTCAGACGCTATGCCCCGTTAACCGACCTGACTACCGACTGCCCAGTACACCTAATATGTCCCGCGGACCGAACAACCGCCCACGTTACCGGAACCCGGCAGAATGGCGAACTTCCGATGACAGGCCGATCTGCTTCAACTGTGGACGAGTGGGCCATATTTCACGTCATTGCCGCACTTCCTGGGGTTGGCAGCCATGGTCGCATTATGCCAACACCCGACGCCCACCTGCTGGCTCTCGGATGCCGATCTACACGGCACAAGATGATGCTTCGCCATCCAGGCCCGCCCAACCAAGCCGCTCCCCGTCGCCCTCTGGACGCATGTCCCGCTCAACTAACCGACGTCGCTCCCCCTCGCCCTCCTACCACCAGTCCTCGGAAAACTGACGGGCGCAGCTCCTAGAGGTGAGCCTGCTTCGACGACCCGACCCAAAATTCCTCTACACACGATACCCGGACACAACAACTTGATTAAAGTAAATGTTGACGGTACTTCTGTGGCAGCACTCATTGACACCGGCGCTCACATATCAGTCATGAACTCCAGCCTTTGTGCTCGACTCAAGAAAGTGCTCACTCCTGCTCCGATCACTCTTGTCCGAGTAGCTGATGGTGCAACACCAGCGGTCACCGGGATGTGTGCCGCCCGTGTCACTGTTGCTGGACGTCATACCACTGTTCTGTTTTACGTACTGGACCACTGCCCACATGACATCATATTGGGACTCGATTTTCTGTCGGAGCATTCCGCCCTAATTGACTGTTCTGCTGGTGTTGTTCAGCTCGTCCTACCACACGCCGTTGACCCTCCTGATCCTGCGCCGCCAAAGCTATGCTCCGCCGACTTTGTTCGCCTATCTTGTCGAGCTGTGACGTATATCGACGTCTCTTCTGATCCACCTGTGGCTGACGGCGATTATGTCATTTCACCTAATCCTACAGTACTCTGTTCGCTCAATGTTGCGTTCCCCCACACCATCATCACAATGAAGAACAACGTGGCATGTCTCCCTATTGTGAACTTTGGACTTTGCTCTGAAGTGCTGCCACGAGGAATATCCCTTGCAACCCTTGCCCCGGCCGGCGACTACCACATATCGGCCTTAACAGAGGATACACCGTCATCTGCAAGTATTCAGTCGCGCAGTACACTAGACTGCATAACTGGAATGATTGCCTCTGATCTCCCGGCCGAGCATGTGTCTGCGCTTCGTGGCCTTCTTGCGTCGTATCAAGACGTCTTTGATCTCTGCGACCGACCCCTAGGTCAAACGACCGTCGTAAAGCATCGGATCAACACCGGTGATGCAAATCCAGTACACCGGCGACCCTATCGAGTTTCCTCCACCGAGCGCCACGTGATCCAGCAAGAAGTCGACAAGATGCTTGCCCGAGACATCATTGAACCTTCTTCAAGTCCTTGGGCTTCGCCCGTTGTGCTTGTGAGAAAGAAGGATAACAGCTGGCGCTTCTGTGTCGACTACAGAAATCTTAACAAGGTTACAAAAAAAGACGTGTATCCTCTGCCGCGGATAGACGACGCTCTTGACTGCCTTAGTGGAGCAAATTATTTCTCTTCCATCGACCTTCGTTCCGGGTACTGGCAGATATCAGTTGATGATCTGGACCGTGAAAAGACGGCATTTATAACTCCCGACGGGCTCTATCAGTTCAAAGTAATGCCGTTCGGGTTATGCAATGCCCCGGCTACATTCGAACGAATGATGGACGCTCTTCTTCACGGTTTCAAGTGGTCAATCTGCTTATGCTACCTTGATGACGTCATTGTTTTTTCGCCAACTTTCGAAACTCACCTCGAGCGTCTCTCAACAATTCTTTCGGTTTTCCGCAAAGCAGGGCTCCAACTAAACTCGTCGAAATGTCACTTCGGCCGCCGGCAGCTCACTGTCCTTGGACACCTTATCGATTCTTCTGGTGTTCGTCCCGATCCTGAGAAAATCCGTGCCGTCAAAGATTTCCCTGTGCCGACCTCTGCGAACGATGTTCGAAGCTTTGTGGGCCTTTGTTCTTACTTTCGTAGATTTGTGCGGAATTTTGCTGACGTCGCACGACCGCTCACGGAACTACTAAAAAAAATGTGACTTTTGTGTGGGGACCTGAACAAACCAGAGCATTCGTTGAACTGACGAGTAGACTTACGACGCCACCGATTCTCGGCCACTTTGATATATGCGCTCCAACGGAAGTGCGTACCGACGCCAGCGGCCACGGAATCGGAGCCGTTTTGGCACAACGACAGCATGGCTGCGAGCGCGTTATTGCATACGCTAGCCGTCTTTTATCGCCAGCAGAGCGAAATTACTCCATCACAGAACGCGAATGCCTCGCACTCGTCTGGGCAGTGGCTAAATTTCGGCCGTATTTGTATGGACGCCCGTTCACGGTTGTCACTGATCACCACGCCTTATGCTGGTTGTCGTCCTTAAAAGATCCTAGTGGACGTCTCGGCCGGTGGGCTCTACGGCTACAGGAATATTCCTACACGGTTGTCTACAAATCAGGTCGCCACCATGAGGATGCTGATTGCTTGTCGCGTCATCCAGTAGACCCAGCAGACCTTTCTGAGAGCGATGAGTCTACTTGCGTTTTGGCACTTTCCGCGTTTAGCAACATCGGAGATCAGCAACGCCGTGATCCTCACCTCAGAGATATAATCCTTCGGCTTAGTGGTCCCACAACTCCTCCGTCTCTCCGTATGTTCCTGCTCCAAGATGGCGTCTTATATCGCTACAGCATGCATCCTGACGGACCTGAGCTGCTGTTGGTCATACCACAACATATGCGTCAGACTGTCCTTGCACAGTTGCATGATATTCCGACAGCTGGTCACCTGGGAGTTTCAAGAACTTATGACCGCGTTCGACGTCGCTTCTTTTGGCCCGGTATTTACCGATCCGTCTGCCGTTACGTCGCCTCATGCAAATCCTGTCAACACCGCAAAAAACCAGCAACCCTTAAAGCGGGACGCCTTCAACCCATTCAGATCCCATCCGAACCATTTTATAGGGTAGGTGTTGACTTACTAGGACCGTTTCCTTTATCGGCCAGCGGAAACAAGTGGATAGCAGTCGCCACGGATTACACCACTCGGTATGCCATCACACGGGCCCTTCCTACCAGTTGTGCGACCGACGTCGCTGACTTTCTTCTAGAAGACGTCATATTACACCACGGCGCTCCTCGGCAACTGCTTACCGATCGGGGTCGCTACTTTTTATCACAAGTTATCCAAGACATATTGCACTCTTGCGCTACAAAGCACAAGTTCACAACGGCGTATCATCCTCAAACCAACGGGCTCACGGAGCGGCTAAATAGAACCATCACGGACATGCTCGCCATGTACGTTTCTTCCGACCATCGTGACTGGGACTCCGCCCTTCCATTTGTAACATTTGCCTATAATACGTCTCGGCATGACACTGCAGGTTTCTCGCCATTTTTCCTCCTGTACGGACGAGAACCTACGTTGCCTTTCGACACGCTCCTTCCTGCCGTTGGCCACACGTCAGAATATGCCCGCGATGTGATTTCTAGAGCTCTAGAGGCACGTGAGATTGCTCGCCGGCGTCTGAGCGATTCGCAGGAACGACAACGACAGGTCTACAACGCGTGCCATCGTGATGTCCACTTCAGTCAAGGTGACACAGTCCTTCTCTGGACGCCGTCGCGGCGAGTTGGCCTGTGCGAAAAGCTGACTTCACCGTACTCGGGTCCGTACCGTGTGGTGCGCCAAGTCACCGACGTGACATATGAAATTGAACCTCTTAACGCCACCAGCGCGCGATCGTGTTCTGACGTTGTTCAC